AGATGACCCTTCAGCAGCTGTATATTAAATGGGAAGAGATTGCCCATTTTTCTCCCATGAAGCAGCTGGTGGATCCAAACTGCATACCTTTGGGTTAATAGAGCAACTCCTTGCCACTGGGCTACCATTACTCCCTGGGCTATGTTTAGAGTGGCACAGACACCAGCATTTCTTACCGTTGATGATTTCTGAGTGGATTTCCTAGAACAGCAGAGTAAATACAAGAACTTGATGTGGCAGGTATTTAATCCCCATTTTGTAAAACAAATCCAAACTTTCAGGTGGACACCTTGCCGGAGCCCCATGGCTGGACCCTGGTAGCAGCAGGAATTGAACCCAGACCTTTTGCATTACTGAGATCAGACTCTTTCCACTATTCTTTGCTGCCAGCATGCTGCATTTCCCTCAGACTCCAAGGTTCATCATTTCTTCATTCCTTCTCCTTCAGCCTAGAGCTGACCTCTCCTGGGTTTTCAAATTCAAACCATTGCCTTTATTCATCTAAGCGATGTGAGCTGCTCAATGCTGTAGGCTGGCACGGGCTGAGCCACGTAGGTGCCCACGTTAAGCTCTTCTCTGGCCTGGCCATGATCTTGGCTGTGTCTGCTTTGTACCCACCCCCGAACCTTGGGTCTCATGGGTTGGGTTTTGGTGACAAGCATCTGGTTTACCTGCCTGGGGCTATGTCTTTCCTCTGTACCAGCTACCGCTTGTTATTCTATCCATTCTGACTCATGAGGACCCAGGTGTCGGAGTAGAACTGTGCTCCATAGAGTTTGTTGTCACTGATTCTTCGGAACTAAGTCTCCAAGACTTACTCTGAAAGCATCTCTGGGTAGGTTGCACCGTCCAACCATTTCTGTAGCAGCTGAGCATGTTAACCATTTGTACCAAAGAAACACATTCAATCTGCTGCTGAAAGATAATCCACCCATGCACCTCTCTGTGTGTCTGGCCCATCGCTTTCCCTGGCCCGCAAGGCTGTTACTGCTGACTATTTTCTTAGAGTCTTTGGCTCCGTACAAACCCCACTGCTTGACCTGGGTCCCATCATGCCTGGCTCCATCATGCCTTCATGCCTTGGACTGCCCTGTCCCCTTATCCCCTTCAGTTCCTGGCATGACCTCTTATGGCGTTTCTTCCTGAATTGTACCTTGATGCAATGCTATTGTAAGAATCAGACCCTTGAAACCCATTTATCACAAGGCTGCAGTGCTATTGATTGGGCCGTACTGTCATCTCTCATAGAGACTCCTGGGAGAATTCTTGTCTCACCTCAGTGCCTAAACCAGCTGCTCTCCTGACAGGCAGGATCTTTCTGACATAGCCATGTACCAGGCATTCTTAACCGGCCAGGCTCTCCTGTGCTCATTCGCGTGCAGAGACCTCAGCCCACACTGTCCCAGCCTGCGGGTGGGGTGGGGTGGGGGGCGTGTGAGCCCCTGCAGTGGGCATCTTCAGCACTCCCTATTGATTTTCTTTCTCCTTTGGCTCATTTTCACTCCTGGTCTCATGCTGTTTTGTAAATCTCCCCAAGCCACCTTAAAGCCTTTCTGGAATAAGGTTGGGTATAAATCAATAAACTGATCAATAAAAATAAACCACCTTCCTTGCAGGATTGTGGTGAGGATTAAATGGAATAATGGATGTGAGTTGCTGGACCAGAGTCCTCTCCGAGGCTCAAGGCTCAGCTGAAGGGCAGACTTGTGGTCCTCTGCCCCAGGGGCCCTCCTCTTGGGCTCTGCACCTTCGGGGGGCCTCTATCCCCCACCCCCACCCCATCCTCCTCTCCCCCTCACTGCTTGTACTCCATGTTCTTGGTTTCCAAGGGTAGGAGGAGGCAGGTGTCTGTCTTCTCTCTGTCCTACACTCAGAAGTCATCTTGTCCTAACAGGGCTTCCGTCCTCCCTGGACCCTCAAACGCCCTGGAGAACTGAGCGCCTCCCTGGACCTGTCTTAGAGCATCATTGTGCAGCATGATAGGCTGTTGTGAGAGAACAGGAGTGAGTCTACATTGGTGAGGAGCCTTTGAAGTCATGGTTTTGACAAATGAGGAAACTGAGGCCCAAAGAAGTTGAGGGAAGTGCCATAGTCAAGTAGCATGACTTCAAGTTCATTGGTGCCAAGTCTAAGCAAGCCCATCCCGCCTGCAAAAGAAGAAACTTCTCAGGGTCAGAGCCTCCCTCTTAGCACGGCTCCCCAGGCCACGTCTGCATTAATGATGCAGCATGTTTAACCAGTCGCCCCAAAGTACAGCAACTGTAGCTGCTCATGCAGGCAGGTTCCCCTTCCCTCCTACTTATTCAGTGACTTGTGTCCCTGGGAGACTCTGAGTTCAGGCAGTATCTGGTCTACCTGCACCAACCCAGCAATTTCCCCTGCCGGACCACCCTACCCAGTGCCAGCACCTCATTTGAGAAGATAGAGGGAGTGAGTCCCAGGCACAAGAACACGAGTACCTTGACGGGATCTGCTGAGACGGTGGCAATTACTCATACGAAGCACAGAGATTGCAAAGGGGGATACAGCATTCAAGGAGCTCTTTCTACAAGAGGAAGTGATGAAAACGAGGATTAGGCAGATAATTAAAGGCTGAAGTGCCTCCTGTCAAGATAAATGGGGTTGGTGGCAATAGAGGAAAAGGGAGAAACAGGCTCTGGGAGGCGCAGGACAGGTGGATGGCAGGCTGGAGAGTAGCCACCTGGAGGCAATGTAGGCAATATTGACAGACTGCCAGCGAGCTGGAGGTAGCGTAGGTGACTGAGGTCAGTGACCACAGAGTGCAGTGTGCAAATGGGGGCTCGGTATTGGAGGAGGTGAGGACTTGCTGTGAATGGAGATGCTGCTGCTACAGTAGGGATAAAGGCAGGTCAATGGTAGTGAAGCAGGACCTAGTCTGGAATAGGAGGCTGTAAATACTTTGGGAGGTGAGGGGGACATGTCTGTGTTGCTGGCTTAGGATGCTTCCTTTCAAGGAGAGAAAGAGAGCGGGGGACAGGATGCCGGGGCTGGAAATGTACAGTCAGACCACAGGTGTCTGGACTGTTTCTGGAGGCTGCCCATGGTGGGTGGAGGGACTGGGATTTGCAGGGAGGACCTCAGGCAGGCTGGGCTCCACTCGGGCATGGGATCACCGTGCCAGGCTCTGACGCTCATTTGTAAATAAGGACACCAGGACTTAAGAGGAAAGGTGCCTTAACATCATGCCCAGCCAGAAGGTGACCTGGCCTTTCTGGCCCCTGGTTTATACTGGCCTGAGACACTTTATTGTTTTCAATTCATTGTCTCAGTGGAAATAATTACAGAGAATCCTTCCCACCAGTCAGGTGGACAGGTCCTTATGGGCCATCTTCTCAGGGGGGCAGCTAAGCCTTAGGCTCCAAATGGCTGGAAAAAAGGTCCAATGACCTGAGGAAACTGCCAGTGTTGGGTTCTAATCAGAACTGTCACCCCATTTGTTCAGCCCAAGGGCTCAGAGCATGTGCCAGATGCAGGGCTCTGGACAGACCAGCAGGGCTTCATCCTGCTTCTGGCTTTGGATTGTTCACTTGACTTCTCAGAGCTCAACTCTTTCAAAACTCCCACTGTCAGGATTGTAGGAGGGGAGGCTCAGGAGCCAGACTGCCCGAGTTCAAACTCTGGAGCCATCACCTACAAGCTGTGGATCCTTAAATACGTGGCTTAACTCTTGGAGTCTCCCCTTCCTCCTGTGTCCCCTGGGGGTGTGTATCAGTTATGGTTCGTAAGAGACTAGGACCATTTGGATATGTATACTGCACGGGGCCCTTTTGTTCAAAGTTCTGAGTGGACAGAAACCTTTATTTTGCTTAGCAGCCAAGAGCGTGTGTGTGAGAGAGAGAGAGAGAGACAGAGAGTGAGAACATGATTGATTAAGATTTATTTGAAGGGATTGACTCACATGTTTGTAGGGATTGGCAAATACAAAAACCCTTGAGTCAAATGATAAGCTAAAAGCGGGCAGTCTGCCTCCTGAAGGCCAGAGGTGAGCAGAGTCCCTGCTGTGCCTCCTCCCTGTGGTCAGATCATTAACTAAAAGGGAGATAATTAGGTCCTTAAGGAGCCATGGTAATGCAATGGCTAAACACTTGGCTATGAACTCAAAGGTCAACAGTTCAAACTCACCATCCCTTCTGCTGGTGAAAGATGGAGCCATTTGCCCCCATAAAGATTACAGCCTAAGAGGCTCTATGGGGCGGTTCTACTTTGTCACAATTGGTTTCTACGAGTCAATATTAACTCAACAGCACCTACGAACAATGAAGTCCCTGATGAGCTCTGCCCTCCCAGCACAGGGCAAGCCTCCTTCAGGGCACCAGCACTGCAGCTCCCAGGCCAGAAACAGAAGTGGGTGGTATGGGAGAAGGGCCCCAGTCTCCACGTGGGGTCCTCTAGTCTCCATGCAGGATTCTCCAGTCCCCATAGGGAAGTCCTCCAGTCCCCACGTGGGGTCCTTCACTCTCCATGTAGGATCCTCCAGTCCCCATGTGGGATCCTCCAATCGCCATGTGGGGTCTTCTAGTCCCCATGTGAGGTCCTCCAGTTCCCATGTGGGATCCTCCACTCTTCACGTGGGTTCCAGCTCTCGGGGAGCCAGTCGAGTGCCTGCAGCCACTGAGAGCACTAGTTTGGAGTCAAGACGTGGCGTGGGTTGCCTCCTCCTGGCTGAAGGATCTTTGCATGGACTGTGTGAAAGCTGATCTCCATGTGCCCAGCACGCAGGTGTGGGGCCCCCTCAAACGGCATCCCCTCCATCTCTGGAGAGGGGAGGTTCCTGACTCTGAGCCCATTTGGGTAGTGAATCTCTCTCCAGCTCTGTCATGCATTTCATGGGTGCCAAGTGGCCACAGTCCTGGCTATAGGATGCTGCAGTGCCCAGTCTGGGCACAATCCAACCACCTGAGCTGCCACCCCCCTCTTGTCGTGGCCTCTGGAGGAGTCTATTCTGACCAGTGTGTTTCCCCTCTAATTTATTCTCGCAGGGACCTGAGTGAGAACAGCATCCAGGCCATCCCCAGGAAGGCCTTCCGAGGAGCCACCGACCTCAAAAATCTGTGAGTATAGTCCTGGCAGAGAGAGAGCCCTGCTGGCAGTGGGTCTCCTCGAGCAAGTCCTTTGGTCCAGGCAGTCTAGGCTGATCTGGGCTCTGGGATGGCTGACGCCAGCATGGGTTCTAAAAGAATCTGAGGTCGGGGAGATGACGCATGCCCATCTCTGCTTCTGGCACCTCCTGTGTGAGAGCCAAGCATTGCTGAGTGGGCTGTTGGGGGCCAGACTGAAGGAAGTGGATTGAGCTGTGCGGCGCGTGGGCGATGCTCTCAGCACCTTTAAATAGCACTGTCTCCATGCTGTGGCTCCCCAGAACAGTTGTCTTTGTGCTGGGAGAGCTGAGCCTGAATCTTCTCTTGCAATTTACGTGTTGTATCATTCTCATGGTCAAGTCTGAACTGACTTATAGCTGATGATCCCCACCCCCAACTGGATTTCCAAGACTGTAAATCGCCTGGGAGGACATCGCCCGTCTTTCTTTTCTACCCTGGAGCTGCTGACGGATTTAAACCACCAGAGAGATGTGGCCTTTGGGTTAGTGGTGCAGCTTCCTACAGACTAGGCCACCAGAGCTCCCTACATGTCATCTAACCCACTGCAGACCAGATCATGTCCTGGAGCCTTGATATAGTCCTCTGTCAAATGGGGATAATAATGTCTCCCTCAAAGGGTTGTCCTGAGCTTTAAATAAGAGAATAGGAGTAAATATAATCTGTGACCAAACGCTGCTGTCTTGGAGTCAATCCCAACTCATGACTGCCCGTCATCGGGTTTCTGAGGCGATAATCTGTGTAGGAGACTCTACAGTGGAGCAGCTAGTAGATTTGAGTAGTCAACCTTTTTATCAGCCCATTATACAATGCACCATGCCACCAAGGATCCTTACAGTATGTAAGGTGCTGTTTAAGTGGAAAGAACTCTGGTGGCCTACAGCATAAGGAATAGTGCTGCTTACCCAAAGGCCATGCCTTTCTGCCAGTTCGAATCTGCCAGCAGCATCATGGGAGGATAGGCTGTCTCCTATTCTGTAGGCTCTTGTAAGCTGTAACTTACAACTTTGGAAACTCACTGAAGGCTCAGCTATATGTTAGCTGCAACTCAGCAGCAATGAGTTGTCTTTGTGTGTGTGTGTGTATTCTCCAATAATTGTAAAGGTTTCCCCCATTGTTTGTTTAATGGTAATGGATTCTTCTGACAAGTCCATTCTGGTCCAAGCTTGCCACCTCCCCAAATGTGACTACAGCAGGGATGGCAAATGCCTGACATGCTTTTCAACCCCTCCCCCAAGCCTATGGCAGACATTGCTAATCAATCACAGCTTCTTCTCCCACAGAGCTCAAACCACAGCTTCAGATTTTTTCTCGAAGTAGCACAGTAGGCAACCACTAGCAGCCACTTGACCTGACTAGACATTCTGTTGAAATGTGTCGGCATCCTGGGTGACCATCCATCTTGGGATTTCTCAATCTCTCTCTCTCTCTCTGCTTCTTCAGGGATATGCAGAGTTTGGTGGAGGAATAGAATGTTTATTCATATTTATTGTTTTCACTAAGAGAGAACTTAAGTCTTTATTAATATGTAATATTTGGATCAACCCATGTTGTTATGTGTTGTTGAGTCAACTGCTACTCATGAACTTTATGAACCCTGCCCTGTCCTGAGCCAATCTCACTGTTTCCAATACACACCGACCCCATTACCCCAGTTACTGTCAATTCATCTCATCTGGGGTCTTCCTCTCCTGCTCTGTCCCTCCACCCTTCTGAGCATGCTGTCTTTCTCCAAGGACCGGTCCCTCCTGACAATATGCTCAAAATATGTGAAACGGAGCATCAGAATCCTTGCCTCCAAGGAGCAACTTGGGATCAACACACACACAATCGCAAATGATCGAGCTTTTGCCTCTCTTATTCTATTCCTGATCAACATGTTTGGGGAGGCCTGCGTTATGTAATGTTCTCTCCTCTCAATCATTTTCTTTTGCTTCACAGACAACTGGACAAGAATCAGATCAGCTGCATTGAAGAAGGGGCGTTTCGGGCCTTGCGGGGACTGGAGGTGCTGTAAGTGAAATGTATGGGAAGGAGGGAGAGCCCAAATCTCTGCTGGGGATGATCATCCCAGGCTCATGGGCTCAGAGCGAGGTTATGTGACTCGCAGAAGCGGGGATGTCTTCCTCCTGTGCCTGTCTCAACCCCGTCCTTCTTTCTTCGAAGCCAGTGTGAGCCTGGTTCACATCCCCCTCCACTCTCCTTGCTTCCCTCCTGTCCCACCAGATAGTCTATGATGCAGTTGGCTGGTAATCGCTGTCCAGCTCAGGGGATGTCCCATAGGGCAAGACTGTGTCTCCTGAACATTGCCCACTGCTGGACACTCCACCCAACCTTGACAGTGACCATGACTGTGTGACATGAGGGCCTCCCTGTTTATTAGCAGAGAGCCTGTCCCTCCTGTTACTTCTTGCTGGACAGATGCTAAATGGCTCTGGTTTCTCCCCCACTAGGACCTTGAACAACAACAACATCACCACCATTCCCGTGTCCAGTTTCAACCATATGCCCAAGCTCCGGACCTTGTGAGTCAAGCCACGAGGTTGAGGGCACAAAGCCACAACCGTGGGGCCAGTACTCCTGATGGGAGCGAAAAGGAGATGCACCTTTGGGGCTGGGGTGAACCTTATTCTCCCCTTCACCTCTATAGGCCAGCCCAGGGTTTAGGGGAACCTCTGGGTATACCTTGTCCTCCTCAGAGTGTAGGAAATGATCTAAAATTGCACATTGTAGAAATCTCATTTATAGCCGATGTTTTCTCTGAAAAAATGGCACAATTTGTTTTTGTGCTTGAAAATGAGTTGTGTGATTTGAGCCAGTGGAGCTCTGTGAGTTCAGTAAAAAGAATCGCTGTTTCCTGGGCACACTCGGGGCACAGCATGCCCCAGAGCACGCTGGGAGGGAAGCGCAGGGGGCAAGAATGTTCCCTCTGCTGTGACTAATCCCTCAGGTGGGACTTAGCTGTGCAGGTGGCGGAAGGTAGTGTCAGGGCTGAATGTGGCCCTTGGGGGTCCTAGTATCCCCCCCATACAGAGGCCCCAGGTGAGTCCTGAGCCACCTGTTCCCCTGCAGCCGCCTGCACTCCAACCACCTGTTCTGTGACTGCCACCTGGCCTGGCTCTCACAGTGGCTGAGGCAGCGGCCCACCATCGGGCTCTTCACCCAGTGCTCGGCTCCCCCCAGCCTGCGTGGTCTCAACGTGGCTGAAGTGCAGAAGAGCGAGTTCACCTGCTCAGGTGGGTGCAGACCCTGCCCCCAGCCATCACCTTCTGGCCTCTCATCGCTTCCTGTCTCTACCCATCGTCTCCTGTTCCTGCCTTTTGTCTCCACGTGTCACCTCGTACTCTTTCCTTTTTCCTTCTGCCCCTTACTCATTGCCTCCTTCACTCAGATCTGAGGAGATGGCTTCAGAATCGTGCTGCCAGTCCAGATGCAGGTGGTTCAAAGCCACCAGCCACTCCTCCAGAGGAAGATGGACAATCTTCTCTCTCACGATTATAGCCTCTGAAAACCCTCATTTAGGACCGTTCCCTGCCCCAGGCCCCTTCACTTCTCCCCACCCCTCCCCTCCTCCTGTTTCCACCCTTCTCTCCCCCCCTTGCCTCACCTTCTACCACCTTGACATTGAGCTAGGTGTTCTTTTCTCCACTGGAGCTGAGACGGACTCTGGATAGTGTCCACTTCATCTTCCCCTGGGGGTCCTGCAGTAGCCTCTCGGTGATCTCCCTGGCTGTTCTAAGCTTCACACTGCAGCCAGAGGATCCAAAAGAATCCCCAAGGCTAGTCAAGTCTGGGAGAAAGTTTTGGAAGGCCCAGTGTGGTCAGCCCTCCCTCCCTCGCCCACCCAGCCTCTTCGTTCGCTGTGTCCCAGCCTTGCTACCTCTGTCCCTTCCTGCAGCAGGAGCTGCTCACTCGAGCCTTCTCCCAGGCTGTTCCCTTGCTGAAGGGACCTTTCCTCCTTGTCATCGTCTGACTATGCTTCAAGCTACAGACCCCAGCTTAACAGTGGGAACAGCCCAGAGCTCTGCTTACAAAGCCTGACCTCCTGCTCACGACAAGTGTTTGTCTGTGGGTACAAAGGCTTGATATTTGAACCGGGGCTTCAGAACTGTTCATTCCTGTTGACCCCTCTACCGCAGCTGAGAACTTGCTTTTCCACTCCAGATGAATGAAATTCTTCTGACTTGTATACGTAAAAATCACCAGGGTATCTTTAATAATTATCTGGAGATCTTGAAATGTGTATTCTCATTCACTCTATCTGGGATGGAAATGCAAAGTTTCAACTGGAGGTCAAGCTGGAAAGACTTGTTTTGGAGTCTAACGTGAACTCACTAGTTACTCTGGGAGAAAGGCATGGCCGTCTCCTTGTGTAAAGATTACAGCCGTGGGACCCTCTGCAGCAGTTCTGCTCTGTCTTCAGGGCTGCTATGAGGTGGCATCAGCTCCATGGTAATGGGTAGCCCACATTTGGATATAGCTCAACCAAACCAAAGACAAGTGGTTCGAATCTACCAGTTACTCCATGGGAGAAAAAGATAGGCAGTCTTCTCCTATGTGATTTACAGCCTCTGAAAACCCTGTGAAGGGTCAGCTATCAGTTGGTTCTGACTTGATGGTACATAACAATTATAATTTATTTGTTTTTTTCCCTTCACTTTTTTTTTTTTTAATTTTTGTGTGAGTGTACCGTCAAATCAGATCTGACTGGTACAGGAGGAGATTGCCCCTCCTTCCCCGGCAGAGCATCTGGTGGATTCGAACCGTGAGCCTCTGGAATTGTAGTTGCAGCTCCTTGCCACTAGGCCATCAGAGCTCCCCCTTCCTTCACTTTTTAAAATTAACTTTTAATGAAAGTTTACAGAGACTTAGGGTTTCCAGTCATTCATTGTTGCATTTTTCTTCCTGCTCACCCCCTCCCCCCAATTCACTCTTCTCCTTGAAAAGTAAAATAAAAACTCTTTCATTGACACAATTATAATTTATTTGTACAATGGCATACTATGCAGAAATAGAAAAGGAAGTGCTTTAATAGGTGATTTTTTTATAAGAAAGATCTCATGTTGAGTAAAACAAACCAGATGGGAGCACACCTACGACAAGATTCACTTATGCGAAATTCACAAGCAAACCAGATCTTTGGTTAGAGATTTTAGAGTTGCCTTGGGGAAGGGACTTGAGAGAATCTTCTTGGGTAAGGGACGTATTTCATAACTGAGTACTGTTTCCATGGGTGTGTCTAGATTTAAAAACACGATGAGCTGTACACTTAAGATGTGTTCATTTTATAAGTTACACCTTAGTTTTAAAAAGTTTAGTCCATATCAGACTCTAGGCTTTACCACCTATTAATTGTTTAAATTTATACAAATTAATTACTTTGAAGGTCTCAATCTTCTCATCTGTAAACAGGCAACAAGAATAGTATATTCCTTGCAGCATTGTGCAGTAGGATTTATGAAAGAGTACATGTCCCACACTTTACTGCAATCCACGGCACATACTAACCAAAATCAATTGCCATTAAGCCCATTCTGACTCTTAACAACCCTATAAAGCAATCCCATAAGACTGAATAGAACTGCCCCCCAGGTTTCTAAGGCTGTAAAACCTTTGTGAACGTGGAACTACCACATCTTTCTCTCAGAGAGCAGCTAATGAGTTTGAACCACCAATCTTTTGATTAGTAACCACATGCTTAACCGCTGTGCTATTGTGGATGCTTGATAAAATCAGTCATTTTTATGCTCTCGTATGACTGACCAGAATATTGAAATGGTTTGACCAGAACTTGGAATCGTGAAATCTGAGGGCAGGATTTCTGAGAGTATGAATCACATGCAGCCCGCATTAGGCTTAGCTCTAAGCTTAGCACACAGCTAGTCAGTGCCTGCTGGGTGATGCCGTGACTGCAGGAATGGACTGTGAGGAAGGCACCAGATGCAGCAAGGGTTCATTCTGTAATGCATGCAGTTGTTAGGAGTCAGAGTTGAATCAATAGCTTGTAGCGATGTGCCAGACAGGGATCTTCAGTGGTACTATGGTTAAGTGCTTGACTGCTGACTGAAAGGTTAGCAGTTCTAATCCACCAACTTCTCTGTGGGAGAAATACATGGCGGTCTGCTTCTGTGACTAATTACAACTTTGGAAACCCTTATGGGTATTTTCACTCTGTCCTGTAAGGTCATTGTGAATAAGATTCAACTCAGTAGCAGTGGGTTTTAGTTTGGATGTGACAGGTGTCCCCTAACTTGTGTCATCATCTGGAGTATTTTATTTTGTGCATTCCCAGCAATATCATCTTATTTATCTTCATCCTCAAAATCGCCTCCACAGCCCTGTCCCCACCCATCACTCTGTATCTGGAGATAGGGATGTTGATATGGGACAGTCTGAGTCACACCCCTCTGTTTCCACAGGTCAGGGGGAGGCAGGGCGTGTGCCTGCCTGTACCCTCTCCTCAGGCTCCTGCCCGGCTATGTGCACCTGCAGCAATGGCATCGTGGACTGTCGTGGCAAAGGGCTCACTGCCATCCCCGCCAACCTGCCTGAGACAATGACAGAGATGTAAGAGCAGGCAGTGTGGGTGGGAGCTGGGTGGACTAGGAGATGCCTGCCCCTCTGGCCAGGCTCTGACAACCTGTGCCAAGCTGAAGCAGACACCTTCTCAGGCTTACAAAACTTCTCAGTAGCAAATGGGACACAGTTTGCCAGGGTTGGGAAGCTCTGAAGGACACGGGAGGCTGTGTCCCTGGGTGCTCCACACCCACTGGGCTTCCAGTGAGCCTGCAGCATCAGTTCCAAGTGTTAGCATCCTTCCTGCCCATCTCAGCCCTGGAAACGGGATAGAGGAGCTCAAAACAAGGGACCTCATTGGTTCCCAACTTTGCCCCCTAAGAGGGAGATGACAGCTGGGGTGGGTGTGAGAAGTGGGCTCAAAGGTATCAGTAAGACCAGCAGAGAAGAGTAGGGAGAGGTGACCCTGATCCTCTTGCTTTCTCTGTGTTCTGTCCCATAGCCGCTTGGAGCTCAACGGGATCAAGTCCATCCCCCCAGGGGCCTTCTCTCCCTACCGGAAGCTGCGGAGGATGTGAGTGCACCCTTGACCCGTGGAGGCACTTGAGGTGGGAGAAAGGTCTAGACACAGGGTTAGACCCAGCTCCACCACTAGCACCAGAGGGACCCTGGACAAGCTGCCACTGGCCTGTCCCCCAGTGTGCCCACTGTAAAGGAAAGACCGTATGGTGACACCCGTAGATCTGTGGTGAGGACTCAGGAAGGTGCCAAGCCCAGAGCTGCACTTCTGCTCCCCTTGCCTGCATTTGAGACCCAGGCTGATGGAATATTTGAGTGGATGGGGGACTCTAACTCCAAATAAGCCTCTGCTCTTACAGGGGACCTGGGAGGTAGGGAGGCTGGGCGGGGCCTGGTGTTGGGATTCAGACACCTCTGCTCCACCCCTTCCTCCCTCTGCAGAGACCTGAGCAACAATCAGATTGCAGAGATAGCGCCTGATGCCTTCCAGGGCCTCCGCTCCCTGAACTCGCTGTGAGTAGCACTGCCCAGGATCGTGAGTGGTCCAGAGTGGCCCTCAGGAGGCCGATGAGCCAGAATTCTTCTGGTGGCTTCTGGATCAGGGGCTAGATCAGCCCGGACCACGTGTCTTACGTAGCTGCGCTCTGCCCTGTCTTCTCTGGCCTGGATGTGCCTGACCAGACTGCAGAATCTAGGGGCCATGTCATCCTAGGGTCCCTTCCCAACTGGGAGGCGAGGAAGAATCAAGGGCTGAATGTAAGAAAAAGCTAGGTGAAGCCACTACACCTGGTAACTCTGATGCTGCACCCTCCACCATTGGGCCTTCCCAGCATTCTCTGCGGTGGTCACCTGCCCCAGGTCCTTCATGTGAACTTTAGGTCCCCTATTCCATCCCTGTGCCCCCCCAGTTCTTCCTGTGTTTACCCACAGGGCAGTTAACCAACAGCTCCAACTGTGACAGCTGCCACATCTTGCCACCTTTCACCACAAAATAACTCTGAACCCAAGATGTGGTGGGTGACACAGTGACTTTTTCCTCCTTTGAATATTATCTTGGGGACCCACTGTGGAGCGATCACTCAACAAGATGTCACATAGCCTCAAAAGCTGATCTTGGAGATGGATGCTCTGTCTCCTTTGTTTTCCCAAGAACCCAGGCTCACATTTCCAAGGGCAGAAGCCCCGACCCTCTGACGTTCTGCAGTTCTCTGTACAGAAGATGCACTTGCTACTGTTAGGAGTGTTTTCACATACCTCTCACACATGCTGGACACAAGTCTGGAACAGAGTCAGATGCTGTAAGGGGGAACAGTCTAGAACTTTCTTGTGGGGAGTGTGGAGGACTACCAGCTCAATGCCTCTGTGCACGCCTTCCTGTCTAGAAGTGGGGTCCAGGACAAGGCTGGGGGCCCTGCATTGCACATCTCCAGGCAATAGTCAATCATAAAGGGCACAGCCTCCACACCTGACCTCCTGGTGTGGGTTACTATTACTAAGATGAGTCACAGCCACACCTGCCACTTCTAAGGTCATAGAATAGATCCCATTGGTGGCATCCATCCTTGGGTGGCCCTAACCCCATCCCCTGTTCTCAACTCTAGCCCTCTCCACTGCATTCTCCACATGGTAGGTTGTGAATGTGTGTGATCACTTCACAAAGCCTACCTGGGCCTAGTGGGTGAAAGCCAAGCTATTCCATGTGTTTCCTCTGGTCAAACCACCCCAGACTTCTGAGTCCCCACAGGCCCACCTGGGCCTTAGCTCCTGCTGCGCCCTCCCCTGGAGTGACCACACAGCCATGCTTGAAGACATAGCATGCACTGCTCTTTTTGTTGTTGTGTACCTTCCAGTTTGAACTGAACCATAACTCACTCTCTAGAGGGTTTTCAGAGGCAGTAAATTGCACAAGAGAAGATTGACCACCTTTTCCCCACCAGTGTAACAGCTAGTGGATTTGAACCACTTATCTTTGGGTTGTCAGCCCAGTTCCTTACCACTAAGTCATCAGAGCTCCCACGAGAGCATTGCTCCTACTCATATTGAATGTCTACAGGGGTGGCTGGTAGGGGCTGATTATGATACTGCTTACAACACACCTCTAAGCACCTCGGTAAACACACGGTATTCTTGGAGACGGGTAAAAATGCAAGTGTGTGATAAAACCCGGGTATCTTGCAGTTCCCATCTCCCAGATCTGCACAGTGGACACTGATCTTTTCTCTCTGGTGTTTTCCTGCACAGAGGAGACTTTTTTTAAATGTGCTTGAGTGCTCCTGCAGAGTAGCATTCTAGTTTTTCTTATAATTTGCTAATCATTCCTACTCATAGGATTTCCTCTGTTTGGAAATCCTGGATCCAGGACCATGTCAGTTTCCCATGAGGTTCCTTACAGCAATCCTCAGCTGACATCTGCGGGGCTTCATGAAAGAACTGGAGGCACGGGCTGCTGAGGCAGTAATGGGAAGCAAGACTCCTACTAACCTTCCTGCAAATTAGAAAAGGAGGACCCTTTATTAAGATGCTTTACTGCCATCTGCTGGCTATTTGTTATACTAAATGCACAAGTCTGACGTCTGATAGGAGTGACATAGCTTAGAGGCGGTGCCTTTGTTCAGTGTGTAACCTGCAGAACTGTGCCATGGCACTAGGGAACTGTCCTCTGATCTTCTCCTTCTGCTGTTCTCTCCAGGGTCCTCTATGGGAACAAGATCACCGACCTCCCCCGGGGTGTATTTGGAGGCCTGTACACCCTTCAGCTTCTGTAAGGACTGATTTTAGGTGTCCTTGTGGGGTGTTGGGGGAGATGGGTCAGTGCTCCTTAGACCTCTCAAATGCCCCTTCAGTATCTTTGGAGTGTAAAGATTTTAGTTGAAACAGGAGTTTGGAAGACAGATCCAGTGGGGTTTGAGAGGCCATGGGATAAGGGATGGGAGAAGTGAAGTCAGAGGTGTCCCCGAGCTGAAGTTGATGCTTCTGAGGAGCTCATCACAGCTAAGGGCTGAGTTACCAGCTCAGCTTTCTTGAACCATGAGCATTGGGCCAAGAGGTCTCCCCAGGGTGGAAGAGAGTGGAACCCAATGCACCATTTCAGCTGCCAAGGAGTCTGGGTAGGAGGAGTTCCCAGAATGCCTTGGGGGTTGTCTTCCCACTGTGCTCTCTGCTCTCCGGAAGCCCCTGGGGTATCTCAGGCAGGTTCTTGAAAGAGGAGAAGGCTGATGCAGATGCTCCCTGCACGTGAAGGAGGCAGCAGGAGTTCTCAGCCCTTTGGCATGAGGAGGGAACACTGAGAGAACCAGCTGCCCTGTCCCTGCTCTCCAGGGGGTCCTTCCTGAAAAACACATGTTCGGTACCCCAGAAGATGCCCAAATAGATTCCCAGGACACATTAATGAGTCTGATCTGTGCTTGTCCCCTCTCTACCTAACCCTACCTCTGCCCATAGGCTTCTGAATGCCAACAAGATCAACTGCATCCGGCCTGATGCCTTCCAGGACCTGCAGAACCTGTCCCTTCTCTCCTTGTATGACAACAAGATACAGAGTCTGGCCAAGGGCACCTTCACCTCCCTTCGGGCCATCCAGACCCTGTGAGTACCTTCTCTGCCCTCCTCTTCCTTCTTCCACAGGATGTCGCAGGAAGGTCCCAGCAGGTAGGCTTGGGAGGACAAAATAGTCCCCAGGTATAGGCAGTGTGTTATGCCCTGAGCTGTGAGAGTCATTGGAGAGTGGCCTTTATAAAAGGAAGAGCACGAGCCTGGGTTCAACAATTCTGAGTTCAAATCCTATCTATCCTTCTTATTGGCTATGTATCTCTAGATCAATTAGCCTCCACTTATTCATCTGTAGAATAGGGATAGTGTCTCCTTCATGTTCACAGATTAAAGGAGCTACTTATACACAGCTTAGCTCACATGACTGCTTGATAAAGTTACAATAATAATACTAACTAAATACATACATACATACATAAAGAAATAAGCTTCACCAATTCTAACACGTATTGTTTCCATACGAGTAGTCTGGGATGCATATTACAGCTGATGACATATCATTTAACTGTAGCTTTTGTTATTCTCCTTTTCATTTATTGTTGCACAATTTCTCCTTCTACCCTCAATTCATCCTGCAATGCACTCCTTGTTCCAGGTTGTTTTTATACATATTATGAATAATCATATATTTCTTTCAAACAGTTCTTCCCCTCATATGTTCAAATGTAGTATTCATTATCTATCCACTTTTTCCCTATTTCCTCCCCAACCCTCCCATCTCTGTCCTATTTTATAGCAGTGGTGTTATGCAGTATTTTTCATTTTGTGACTGAGATATTTCACTTGGCATAATGTCCTCAAGGATCTTCCATGTTATGTAATATTTTACTATTTCACTGTTTTTCAGTGCTGCATAGTATTCCATTGTGTGGAATACAATGGATTTTTTTTTAAATCCATTTGTTTCTTGATGAGCACTTGGGTTGCTTCCATCTCTTTGCTGTGATTTTTTGTTCTTTCTTGATAGTAGATACAATTAAAGTATACTTTCCAATGGGTGGTTTAAACTTAGATGAAAAAGAATACTAACAACATAATTATAATTTATAAATTATAAATATTAAAATTGCAATTATAAATTTAAAATGAGAGTCCAATAAACATGGGGATTTGTTCTATGCTTTTATCATGGAAAAAGGAAAGCATAGGAAAAGTAGTAGTATAGTGGACCCGTAAGTACTATTCACTCTCCATGAATAGCTATCACTTCATGGGCAATCTGACTCTCACACCTACAACTCCCCCCACTTCAACTCACCAAAACAAATTCAGATCACATTGCACACACTGCATGTCATCGATGCAAACTTCATACATATCTCTAGAAGGCAAGGAGCCTTCAAAAACACAACCAAGACATTGCTATTATATATAAAAGATTAGCAATTATCTGTTGTTTGGCTTTGACAAGCACTGTGGCATTTGGACAAGAACAAACTGGGAGGAGGGTAGAGAGAATGGTGCAGCGGTGAATGAATGGAAACCCAAAATCTCTGTAAATGTTTATGAAAATTAATAAAATATAATTATAGAAAAAAAAGAAAAAAATTATCTGTTGTTGTGGTGTTGTTGTTGTTGTGTAGAGCAGCTAGTGGCCTTGAACTGCGTGCCTTCAGGCACAGCTTCTTACCACTAGGCCACCAGATCTCCCTTTACTAGTTAGCTTTTAATTTCCAGTTGTCTCATATGCATTAAGCAATTTTTGTCTTTTGTTAGAATCAGGATTTAACTAAGACCTGTGCAATAGCATTGGTTGCTGTTGTTTGATGTATCTCTTGAGTCTTTTTCAATCTGTAGGTTTCCTTTCTAACTGTCCTTTTCCTTGCTGTTTAGTTGGTAATGACACTTCCTCATTTATTCTGAAGGGCAGGGATTCTAAAATGGTAGTATTTGAATGCTAATGATCCTTCTTCATTTAATAGTGACTTGAGGTTATACTTAAAAGAAGAGTCCTTATCATTTAGCTGCAGTATTTTCATAAAGGGAAACTACTTCTTCTCTGTTGTTTGGTTTAAAGGGCACTTTCAGTTCTATAGGTTTAGTTCTTGGCCTGCAGTTTAGCTTGACGTATTGACCAATGAATTCAGTGATGTGGATTAGTGATAAGCATTAGTTATTAATACAATCATGGCCCTCATTGTTTGCTGTCTTCTTTGACACTGTCTATCTGCTGGGACAGGTGCTAACCAGCCTGGGATAAAGGTACAGTACAGCTCCTGCTCCCTTGGGGTTCTACAGGGATGTCAGCCACAAAGACAAACTCATTAAAACCCTCACTCTGCCTGCGGCCCTGCTCCTGCTAATTAATTTACTATGGCCGGAGAGAGGAAGATGGAGCACCATGGGAGATCTCCCCAAGTATGTGAAATTAAAGGTTACCAAGGAGTCATCTCAAGGTAGATTATTTTAAGCAGTTGGCAGAATGTCTGAGAAAAATGAAGTAAAAAGCATGCTGAGGAGATTTGAAGGCCAAAGCTTTCAGGATGGGCGGGGTGTGGGGGGGGAGATTTTCAGGCAGGAAAGCTTTGGGGATGAGGTATGGAGAAGTGGTTAGAGAGAACTCATCTGAGGAGCTTTTCTCTCAAGGTGGAAGGAGAGTGAATAAGGCAACTGTGTAAAGAAGTGTTTGCAGTTTTTGCCCACGTCCATTCATCTGGCCAATTTCAGAGTATCCTCAGCCCTCCGAGATACTGTATCTGACCCTGAGATCTGACCCCACCACCAGGGGAATAAGCTGTGGGTTAGCTCAGGCATGTTAGCAGAATGTTAGCACAAAGAGGCTTCCTATAGGCGAGACAGTATAGCTGTTATGTGCGGTGGAGTGGGAACTGACTCATAACTGACCTTCCGGTGGGTTTTCAGGGGCTGTAAATTGCATGGGAGAAGATGGTCCATCCTTCTCCCTTGGAGCAGCTGGTGGATTTGAACTACTTTCTTTGAGGTTCACAGTATAGTTCCTTACTACTTGGTCACCAGAGCTCAAAACCAAACCAGTTGCTTTCAAGTCAGCGCCAACTCCTGGTAACCCATGTGTATCAGCGATCTGTGTTCCTTAGGGATAGTTTCGCTGGCTGACTTTTCAGAAGTAAATCCCTGCCTCTTTCTTCTGAAGGACATCTCATTATATTTGAAAGACCAATGTTTTGGTTAGCAGGAGAGCATGTTAGCCATTTCCATTACATGGAACTCCACAGTAACAGGAACCCTTGTTTACTGAGTCCTCGTGGTACAGTGGTTAAGTATTCAGCTGTTAACAGAAAGAATACTGGTTCAAATCCACCAGCTGCATCACTGAAGAAAGGCATGGCCATCTATTTCTGTGAACCTTGCAGCCTTGGGACATCAAGGTTGGTATAACATAGTCCATGAAGACGATGTTCTACATTAGTGAGTAGCAATGGGGGCTTAAAAGCTTGCAAGCAGCCATCTAAGGTGCAAATATTGACCTCTCCATGTCTGGAACAAAGAAGAGGGAGGAAAAGCAAAGTCATACTGAAAATAATTTATTCAAAAGACTAATGGACCATGCATACCTCAACTTCCATCACCAGAAATACTAGATGGTGTTGGCTACCTTAGCTAACCACTCCATAAGAAATCACAGTTGAAAATGCTGGATAGACTGGAGAAAATGTGGAACAAAATGTAAAAATCTCCAGGCTTATTGGTCCAGCACACATTGATAGAACCTCCAAGAATATTACCTTTAGTCACATTTGGAACCTGGAACAAAACTCACTGCTGTGCCTCGAATTTCAGCCAACCAATGGACAAACCTTAAAAGCAGCTGATAATACTAGGGAGGCCCTCATTCCTTAGCATAGCACAAAAAAGGTTAAAAGAAAATAATTTGTACAAGGGTAAAATCCTGAAGGCATGAAGGGATAGGACAGTGTGGTGTTAGCCTAAATGTTGGCACTTTTTTTTTTTTAATGTTGGCACTTTTAAGCCATTAGTTAGCCCCTGTGGTCTCTAGCTGCCTTAACTGCAAGCACATGATCTTGCAAATCATCAGCAGCTGTGAGACTCGGATAAGTGAAAGAGTATTTCTCACACTGGGCAGCAAGATTTGAGGCAAGCAAGACCTGTGGTGTCAAGACTTAAGGGAGACCCTGGTGGTGAGCCCCTGGTGATGGAGGTGGAGAAACTGTGGCATTGTTGTGGAGAAACTGTGGCAAGGTGGGACCTGAGGCTTCTTGCATTTGTACTGGCCATGGTTAAAGGTTTTTGCTATTCTTGCTGTATATTTGCGGGAGAAGCTGATTTATGACTGCTCTGAGGAAAACCTTGCTGGGTGGCTTGGATTTGACTGCTGAACTGAAACCAGAGCCTTGACTAATTAAGGAGTTGTGCCTTGGGACTCTTTGGCTAAAACTTGGATTTGCATTGGGTGATATTCTTTGCCTCCCTCCCTCTCCAACGTCTTTTCCTAATAACCCCATTGTTGGTACCATAACTATAAGTCTGTGAGTGAACAACAGATAGAAGAACCTCTTGCTGTTGGTGGGGCTCTACAGCCACCATGGGGCTGGGCTTTGGGCTTTTTATCTGCTTTCTGCTCTGGGGCAGTGAGGAGTTGTTTTATTTTCACTTCCTGTGGCCTGTTTGGAGAGACACTCATGGCATTGTGCCCCTATGTCCGACTTTCTCCTCTTCAGACAGATAGAAGGATTAATGTAGAGAAGAAGGAGGAAAAGTATTATGTTGAGAATATATTAATTTTATAAAATAAAACGTGTATAAATGATTGTATGAAAAACTACTTTGCCTTGCAAACTTTGAAAACACAATAAAAAAATAAAAGTAATTACAGCCTTGAAACCCTATAAAACAGCTATGCTTTGTTTTATAGGATAACTATGAGTTGAAATGGACTTCACGGCAACAGATTTGGTTTTGGTTTTATTGAGCTCTTACTGAATGCCGGGCTATAGCTTTTTATACATACGATCTTACTTAAAAATGTTAATAATCCCGTGCAGGTAGATTCTTTCATCCCTAATTTTACTTACAAGGAAGCTGAGGCAGAAGGTTAAGTAACTTGCCCCAGTTTACAGAACAGCTAGTGAAGCAGGGATTAATTTCGTACATCTCTTCACCATAACTGAGAAATTCATTAGTTCCCTCCTCCATCATTTGTGCTTTTCTTTAAGAATGTGCCTTATTAGTAACATTGTAAAGCAAAATTGAACTTAATGAACAATTTTCTTATACTTAAAACCAAAATTCATGCACACCCATGTTTATTGCAGCTTTGTTCACAATAGCAAGGAGTTGGAAACAACCTAAGTGCCCATCAACAAATGAATGGCTAGAGAAGCTGTGGTATATTCGCACAATGGAATACTATGCTGCATTAAAAAACAAGGAACTTATGCAATATTATTCAAAATGGTTGACTCTGGAGAACATTATGCTGAGTGAAATATCCCAGTCACAAAAGGACAAATATTACATGATGCCACTGTTGTAGAATGGGACTGTCCTTGGGGTTGGGGAGAGAATGAGTAAGATGGGTTCAATAATGTATACTGCACTGAAACAGAGGAGGCAGAGAACCGTCTAAAAGAGAGATGTAACTGGGTATTTCTGTCATCACAGGAGACTAGAGCGAGGGCTGCATGGTGGAGGGGACCTGGGGGAGTGTTTGTAAAACAATGAAAGAATCTTTTCTTTTACTTTTCCATAATTTTTGGACTCATGTACTTATAACTTGTTAGTCAAATTTGTGTCTTCTAGGTTGCAACACCCCCATGATACATCTTGAAGGATATGTACATGTACAGCCAAGCACAATCAATAAGAGTGCATCTGAATTCCAAAATCAATCTCCATAATAGTCTACGTGTTTCCTACTGCCAAAGGGGCCCTTTAGAGTAGTGAGAGAAGATCTTCACCCTGAAACCCACAGCGTCCCTTTTCAGCAGGAAGTAGCTAAGAGAATACGCCATCCCCTTTTTCTTATGACTCAGGGTGAAGTCTCTCTCAGGGAGGAGTGATAGGGAATGGCAAAGGATACACTGACAAAGAAGATTAATCAGAACTGGCTTTGACAAGCACTGTGGCATTTGGACAGGAACAAACTGGGAGGAGGGTAGAGAGAATAGTGCAACAATGAATGAGTGGAAGCCCAAAATCTCTGTAAATGTTTATGAAAATTAATAAAATATAATTATAGAAAAAAAAAAGAAAGAGATATAAAAGCTTAGGGACAGTAATCAGTAGGCTTGCAGATGACTCATAATGAAATCTTTTGTTAAATGTCTCTCCCAGTACTGTTTATCATTCAGACTTTAAAATATTACCTTTCTTTGTCAGTGCAGGCATCCACAAGTCGCCATGAACGCCTTGACATGTTTTATTGCCATAGTTCAAATCTGTTCTATCAAGGTCAAGCATACCTATCCTAATTAATAAGAAAAGTTTACAGTAATTCATTAACATTGGATTCATTCCTGCTGTTGTTACTCTTAGGTGCCATCAAGCTGATGACAAATCATAGCTACTCTATAAACAACAGATCTGAACCTGGCCCTATCCTGGGCCCTCCTCCCCATGTCTGACATGTTCAAGTTCATTGTTACAGTCACTGTGTCAATCCATTTTGTTGAGAATCTTTCCCTCCTCTGACCTTCTACTTTTCCCAGCATGATGTCTTTTTCAAAGGACTGGTCCCTCCTGACAACACCCGCCCAAAGTATGTGAGATGAAGTCTCACCATCCTTGCCTCTAAGCAGAGGGATGTGGATGTGCAGGGGGAAGGGGGGATTAATCATTGGGTTGCACGATTTGATGGGTGAGAGGGTGAGGGAAATGGAAAGAATTTGTTCAAATTTGTATTTGAATTTTGTAAATAAAAAAAAAAAAGGAAAAAAAAAAAACAAAAACCAAAATTCTCCCAAAATGACTAGAACAGCACATTGAAAGATTTCCTCCAGGCGTCTTGACAAGATTCCAGAAAGCCAAACCCAGAGGTAATAGGTAGGAAGAGAGGGGAGTCTGTGTTATGCTGGGCCAAGACCCCAGGTAACTGTTTACTCTTTTGCTTGGAGCTCTGGACAGTCCCTGGTAAAGGGCTGAGCTGACAGTACATACAACGACCTGAGAAGAGGCACTTGAAGGCAAGCAAAGTGACTGTAGCTTGATGAGTCTCTCTAAATTGGGTCCCCAGCTGACATTTGGCCTTCAAGTCTGTGAGCAGAAAGAACTCTGGGACTATAACCAGTAAGGGGGTGAGGACTGTGGGCACAGGAATACTTTTCTCAGTGTCTTGGAGCCAAGCACAGGTATAAAAGGAACAGTTACACTGTGGAGGTGGCCAAGTCTGACTTCTACCTGCTTCGTAAAGGAGAACTGTCTCCATAAATAATATCTATTGTATATACAAATGGCTATATAGTCAGACATGCCACCCACATGCTCCTGCACCTATTTCTTCCAATCTCTGAGTCCAATGTTCATTGCAGCTTGACTCACAGACTTTACTCTCAGTTTTGAGGCTTATTAGGGAAATAGGTTGTGGAGTTGGGGAATGTCTAAAGAGGAGAAAATGGGACATGGAGATACAGGGCCATAAGTGACTCTCTGAAAGGTCCAGAGAGAGTGAGAATAGCACAGATCTAGAATAGGAAGCAACTAAAGAGCACATAGCCCAGCCACATGCTGCCTATAGAGCCACACTAACAGCAAGAGGTTTGTTTATTTGTTGCTGTCTCACAGACTCACAGTTATGGTACCAACAATGGGATTTGTTAGAGAAGGAAGTTGGAGAGTAGGGGAGGCAAAGAATATCTCACAATACAAGTCCAGGCTCCAAGGCATAGTTCCTCAATTAGTCCAGGCTCTGGTTTTAGTTCAGCAGTCAAATCCAAATCATCCAGCAAGGTTTGCCTTCAAGCAAACAAGCATCCAACAAGTTATAAGTCAGCTTCTCCTTCAAGTATCTGGCAAGAGCAGCAAACACTTTTAACTGTGCCTTTTTCTCAAGGATCCTCTGCTTACGATTTGCCACAGTTTCTCCATATCAGTCCCACAGTCCCTCCAACACCATCTCCAGGATCTCACCAACAGGGTATGCTTCAGTCTCCCTCAAGTTTTGCCACCACAAGTCTTGCTTGCCTCAAGTCTTGCTGCTAAGTGTGGGAAGCACTCTTTCTCTTCCTATCCCACAGCTGATGCTGATCTGCAAGACCATACTGACTTGCAAGATCCTGTGTGTGAAGTTAAGGTAGCTGGAGACCAGAGGGGGATAACTAATGGCTAAAAAAAGTCAACTTTTAGGATTGCACAACAGGGAGGCAAAGAATATCACACAATGCAAGTCTAGGTTTAGTCCAATAGTCCCAAGCCAGATTAACAAAGCACAATTAGTGAAAGTTCAGGTTCAGTTCAACAGCACAGATGTACCTCTGGTTTCCTCAATCATCCAGCAAACTTTATCTTAAAGCAATTACACGTTAGCTTTTATTTCAATCATCCAGCAAGCAAAATCTTTTAACAATGGCTCCATCTTCAGAGTTGCTCTTGTTATACCTTGCCTTAGTCTCTTCACAGCAGTGCCACAGTCTCTTCACTCCCTCTCCACCAGTTTTTCATAATGTGGAAGGTGCTTTTTATATTGGTCCCACAGCTCTTGATGATTTGTAACACCATATGTCTGCAGTTAAGGGAGCTAGAGATCATGTCCACAATTGGACCTAATGCAATAGATTTTGTGTTGCTAGGTGCTGTTGAGTACGACTCATAGTGACCCCAATTTTCAAGGCTTCTGACACCACACCAGGGCAGGCACAGTGTGGGTGATCTGAGCCCACTCAGAGCAGTCAGAGCCTGCACATGGAGAAGCCACTAAGTGGACACTCATGATAATCCAAGTTTCCTTGACTGGTGTCACCTACCGCCTGTCCCCTCTCCCACACTCATCCTGCTGGTAGTACAGGAAGAGAATAATTGCACAATAATGTTTCTGAGTTCTCCTTGTGCAAAGAGACATACTGCAGAAGGGTCAGCCAGCAACAAGGCCCTACCCAGGTTAAGATCAGCAAAATTGTATGGCCCCAGTCTTTCTGATGCCCAGTCTTCCTTTGGACAGGCATCTGGCCCAGAATCCGTTCATCTGTGACTGTAACCTCAAGTGGCTGGCAGACTTCCTGCGCACCAATCCCATTGAAACAAGCGGGGCACGCTGTGCCAGCCCCCGGCGCCTCGCCAACAAGCGCATTGGGCAGATCAAGAGCAAGAAGTTCCGGTGCTCAGGTAGCTGCTCGCCTATCTTTCTGTCTGATGGTCATCTGTCTTTCTGCTTCTCTGCTGCCAGTTTGTCTTTAGCCTGCTTAGTGACCAGTGATACTTTTTAAAATGGCCTTGGAAAAAGAGTTCTGGGTCACTCTAGGCTCCCAAAACAAGGCAGAGAGACCCAGGTTCTAGCTTTAGATTTGAGTGGTTGTTCAGCCACAACACTCATTCACTGAAGCCTTGAGGAGAGGAGGGACTTGCTGGATGTCTTGGAATGAAGATTCACATGATGGTCCTCTCTTCTTAGGCCAGTTCACTCTCATACCATTGTCTTGAAGCCTTTTGAAGTAGGTGAGAGGACTGAGAACCTCATCAGTAAATTAAACTCTGCCCCCAGGTTCTGGGATTGCAGAATCGGCCTCATCACTATTACCACCTGGATCCTGGCTGGGGTTGGTGCAGCCAGCTTGAGCTCAGGTCCTGTCCGGACTCACTGACTCACTGTTGCCCTGTGCCCATGTGTAAAGGCAACACTGTCTCCTTTCTTATACCATTGCAAGTAGATTTTTATCCTGATGATGTGTGGCACTCTCTGAGAGAGGTTTAGTAAGGTATGGCCTTGGCATTGGCCTGCACCAAAGCATCTGTGCCTAGCAAGGCTATTGTCACACGGGGCCTGATAGATGAGCTCTGGGTCCTGACTGGGACTCAACCTCATTCTTGAGGCCCCTTTCATTGGGAAGTGAGCTGGGGCTCTTCTGTTCCCTGAATCCTGAATGTTCCCCCCATCATGGTGTTTCTGCTTCTCTCCACAGCCAAGGAGCAGTACTTCATTCCAGGTAGGAGAATTGTGGGACTAAGGCCAGTTTAGGGGGCAGGGGGCAGCAGTGTGTGGGTAGAGGTGGGGCCACAGGCCAAGAGGGGCTTGGACACCTTTCTTGGAGCCTGCCCTGGCCCTCAGACCCCAGGCCTGGCCCCTCCCTGCAGGCACAGAGGATTACCAGCTGAACAGCGAGTGCAACAGCGACGTGGTCTGTCCACACAAGTGCCGCTGTGAGGCCAATGTGGTGGAGTGCTCCAGCCTGAAGCTCACCAAGATCCCTGAGCGCATCCCTCAGTCCACGGCCGAGCTGTGAGGGCCCCCCCTTAACCTAACCCTCCTGTGCCCACTCCAGGCTTTTCTCTGCTCCCAGTTCTGTTTGAAGGCTGGCCAGAGACACTACCCCCACCCCCAATCCCCCCACCCCAGGAACTACCATGCTTGGACAGAAGCAGGTCCTCTCCCCTGCTGTGGTCCAGGTTGGCCTCTGACTCCCAGCCCTATAATCAACTTGCAGCAGTTTTCAGCACCCAAATCAGGTCACCAGCTTAGACAAAGTGTGGCTTTTCTGTACTTCTGTCTTCTCTTCATTCAAGTTCAAGCTTAAACTATCCCTTTAGCTCTCATATATGTATGCATGTCGGTACATCTGTCATGTACTTATGTGAATGCCCGTGGCATTTGTAATGCAGAAGTGCTCCTATCTGTCCTCAGCACGAGGCCTGTCCCTCCTATAGATTTAGCAGACTAGAGGAGTCCCATCTGTAAGAGTGCCAGATGATTTCATTTCAGAGGGTGCTTTAGCAATTGCTTATGGATGTGCAAAAAAGCCCTGATAGCACAGTGGTTAAGTGGTTGGCTGCTAACCAGAAAGTTGGCAGTTCAAACCCATCAGCCACTCTGACGGGAAAAGACCTGGCAAGCTACTCCCATAAAGATGGCAGCCTGGGAGGTCCTCTGGGGCATTTCTACTGTCCCATCAGGTCGTTCTGGATCAGCGTCGACCTGATGACACACAGTAACACGGATGCATCAGTTCTGTGCATTGCCTCTTGCAGGCGTTTGAACAACAATGAAATTTCCATCCTGGAGGCCACTGGAATGTTTAAAAAACTTACCCATCTGAAGAAAATGTGAGTCACCATTGGAAGACAGGCACAGTCAGGGTACTGGCATTTCGGCAAGGAGAGGGACTATCCTGGGGTGGGGAACGCCCAGTGAGGAGGCCAGGGCTGCAGTGTGTGGGTGTTGGGACTGAGGGCAACAGGAGAGAGGGCCCCGAAGTCCTGCTTTTGGGAGCCTGTAATCCTCTCTGTTCTTCTTTCCCCAGCAACCTCAGCAACAACAAGGTGTCAGAAATTGAAGATGGGGCTTTTGAGGGGGCGGCCTCCGTGAGTGAGCTGCATCTGACCGCCAATCAGCTGGAGTCCATCCGGAGCGGCATGTTCCGGGGTCTGGACGGCTTGAGGACCTTGTGAGTGTGTGTGGCCGGATGGGCCAGTCAGCTGAACTAAGGGGGTCAAAGGGCAAGCCACAGTGTAGGGTAAAGGAAGGGAGGATAGGAGCCACCCTCCACCAGCTTACCAGAGAATGAGGACAGCCTACAACCCTGGCTGTGGTGGGGACAAATGGTCTAATGGCAATTCAGTGAGGCCTCTTCTTACTGTTTCCTGGGATGTGGAGTGGCCCTTCTGGTTGTTCTGTGATCAGCACAAATGTGTACAAAAGTGACGAACAGGAGGGACTGGATGACCCCATGACAGGGACATTGCAGAGAGGACTTGAGGGGCTGTCGGTGGAAGAGCAGGGTTATTGGATGGTCCCTGGGATCATGTGGTCCTAGAACTCAGAGTCCATCCACACTCTGAGTAGACAGGTGTGTGATAAGATGTTGGAGTCATCTGCTCTTTCCTGAATGCTGACAGAAGTCACTTCCCCGCCCAGGACAGGGCTCTTCATGCCAACACTCAGAGCATCCGATAGACAGGGCTGCCCAGCGGGGCTTCTGCGACAATGGCAGTGCAGTGTGTCCGTGCTGTCCAGTCCAGTAGCCACACATGGCTTTCCGGCACTTAGCATGGCTAGTGGTACAGAGGTTGTGAACTTTACTTTCTTTGATGACTTGTCATTTAAACTGCTGCATGTGGCTGTGTGGCTCTTGTATTAGATGAGAGGGCTCAAGAAGCAGCTTGACTAGATTTAAATCCCAGCTCTGCAGTTGGCTCTAGATTTGTTTTCCATGTAGAGACTAAGGTGTGCCTGATCCAGGCCATGGTCTTTGCAATTACTTGCAATTAATGCATTAGAGAGCTGGATAATGACTAAGGATGACAGAAGAAGAAGAATTGATACCTTTGAGATGTAGTGCTGGAGAAGATTATTGAACATACCATGGACTGCCAAAAGAACAAACAGGTCTGTCTTAGAGAGGGTGAAACCAAGTTTCTCCCTGAGTCAGGCAAAGATTTTGAAGCTCTGACATACTTTGGGCATGTGACCAAGAGGGACTGCTCCTTGGAGAAGGTCATCATGCTCAGAAGGTTGGAGGGACAGCACAAGAAAGGAAGACCCAGATGAGGCGGATTGACACAGTAACTGGTGTAGTAGGGGTAGATGTGCTGGAGACCGTGAGACTGGCTCAGGATAGGGCAGGCTTCAGAGCTGTTGTACACAGGGTCGCTATGAGTTGCAGGTGACGGCACATAACAACGGTTGAATTTGTGTAAGGAAAATGAGTGTGTGATGGATCTTCTTATAGGATCTTGTTTGCTTTGAAAACAAGAAAGCCGTTTTGAAGTGGCTTTTCTTGTGCATTTTATTATGCACTTTCTTTATTAAATTTTGAGTGTAGTCTAACCAGGCTGCTCTCAAAGAAGGCTGACCTCATTCAACGTATTTTCTGAAATACACACACACACACCCCCCCATATATATATATAGAGAGAGAGAGAAAGAGAGAGAGAGAGAGAGAGAGAGAGAGAGAGAGAGAGAGAGAGAGAGTCGTTGTTGTGTACTGTCAAGTCAGAACTGACACATAACCTGACCCAACCTCTGGTGGGTTTTCAGAAGCTGTTAATTGCACAGGAGGAGATTGCCCATCCTTCTCCCACAGAGCAGCTGGTCCACCAGTGCGTTCTTGCATCCTCCTCCTCCTCCTCCTCCTTCTTCTTCTTCTTCTTCTTCTTCTCTCTCTCTCTCTCTCTCGATATATATATATTATTGCCTTTGAGTCGAGCACGACTCATAGTGACCCCATGAAATGAACAAAAGGCCTGAAGCCTTTCTATAACTATCATCATTTCTCAAAGTTCATAGTGTCCAGAGGCATGTGGTTTAGGAAGTGGATGCCACTCCTGCTTCCATGGTTGCTGCTGAGTTGGAACCAACCCACAGCTGACCTTCCAGTGAGTTTTCAGTCTGTAAATCACGCGAGAGGAGGAAACCCATCTTTCTCCTTCAAAGCAGCTGGTAGATTCTGATACCAGCTTTTGGTTTGGCAGTGCGACTCCTTACCTCCTATATCACTAGTTGTCATTCTTGTGTACCGCTGAGTGGGAACAGACCCACAGGGTTTTCAGAGGCAGTAAAATGCAATGAAAGACATTATCCTTATTTTCCCCTTGAAGCAGTTGATAGGTTCAAACCATGTGCCTTTGAATTGGTAGCATAATTCATTACCACTAAGCCACCAGAGCTCCCCAGGCCACTAGAGCTCCCAAATATATATGTATAAATTCAATGGAAATTAAGACTGTTTCAGTGTTTATTATTATTATTAACAATGTTATGATTGCTGTGTGCCATTAAGTCATTAAAGTCATCGTTGTGTGCCATTGAAGACTGGTCCAATTTATTATTTATTATTATTACTAGCAATGTTATAATTGTTGTTGTGTGCCATGGAGTCAATGGCAACTCCTCGTGATCCTACAGGACAGAGCAGAACTGCCATGTAGGATTTTCTCGGTGACAGTCTTTAGGAAAGCAGGTTGAGGGATTTTTTTTTCTCCTGTAGAGCAGCTGGTAGGTTTGAACTGCCAACTTTTCAGTTAGCATTCACTTAAACATTGTACCATCAGGCCTGCTTGGTGTGGTTAGTACCTTTCTAACTAAATTCTGTCCATCCCTGATTATTCCTTTGTGACAGATGCCTAAGGGTGGGTTTGAGAGATGAAAGCTCAAAGTGTCCTTCAGGTATCTTGATGTACAAAACCAGGCTGCTTCTACGAGGCCCTGAGGTCTCCCCTGAGACCAAAGCACAGGGAAGTTCCCACTGCTCTCACCCTTTCCCCCTTTTTTTTTATTTGACAGGTAAATAATCAGTATTTGTCTTTGATCACTAATGAAGCTCACCATTTTCATGGATGTTCATCAAATCATTTTAATTTCTTTCATCAAGTACCCATTCCTTGGTAGGCTTAGCCTTTTATCTTTGGTTGTTTGCTGAGAAGGAGAATTCAACCAAGTTTTGAGGATAAACAGACACCTTTCCAGATATAGATGAAGAAGGAAAGCATTCAAGGAACAAACAATGGCCTGGGAAAGGCTTCATAGTGTAACTGAGAATGGCATATGGAAAGACAGGGAGGTCAAGGGTATGTCAGGCGCTGGTGGAGACAGGACTGAGGGTCTGGGGCTGTCTTGGAGGGGTCAGTTTAAATTTCCAGAAAAGAGTTTAAAAGTAATTCTGCGAGTAATGTGAAATCCATGAATGGGTTGAAAACTGGAGAGTGACTAGATTGAGGCTTTAAGGAATTTCTTAGGCCCTGATGGGGAGCAAGGCTTAGTGGTGAGGAGAACCACTGGCCATCCACAGTGTGAAAGTGTGCAGTGAAAGGCTACAATGGAGGCCATAATGATGGGAAGAAGAGGGGAGAAAGAACCTAGAAGTGTTGTAGAGATGTAATGATCTGCAGGTGAGAACAGAGGTGTATAAGCCTCACTCTTCCATGCTCTCCCCTGGAGCACAGCGCCTCCTGGAGGAGAACTTTCAAACTGGTGAGTATTGGCTGGAGGTAAGGGGCCACCTTCCCCTCTCACCACCGCCTTCCTGTGCAGGATGCTGAGGAACAACCGGATCAGCTGCATCCACAATGACAGCTTCACGGGTCTGCGTAACGTCCGACTCCTCTCGCTGTATGACAACCAGATCACCACCATCTCTCCGGGGGCCTTTGACACCCTCCAGTCCCTCTCCACACTGTAAGTCCCAGCTCTCTGGGGACACAGACACCTTTGGCTCTGACATGAGCCATCCAGACGCCAGGAGCCCTGCCCCCTTTCCCTGGGCAGCAGAAAGGGGAGCAGAGCAGGAGGCGTTGGAGCAAGCCTTGAATCCCAGCACCAGCACTTACCATCTGAGTGACCTCAGCTCATTGAAACTCCTTGAGCCTCAGTTTACCTGTTTATATAATTGAGTTGGGAATGTCTGTTTTGCTGGGTTTCTGCCTAGATTAGCTAAAATTGCCCAAGAAGCCATGTGTAGTGGATGGGGCTGGAGGTGGTGGGCTTCTCTGAGAGCAATCTGGGGTCCTTAGGAAGGTGACCATTGACTTGCCTTCACTGTCTTTAGGGAAAAGGGATGTACTGAAGTCAGCACTTCTGCCCAGGGGGCTTCAATATTTGTCAACTTCCTATTGGGATTTGTGGTTTATGGAGAATGCCAAGGTCAGGAGGCCCCTGTTTGCATTTCTGAGAGAGACAGTGGAGAGGAGGAAGAGCAGCCTGGCTTTGGAGCCCTTGGTGTAGTTCTTGTTTGCTCCCAGTACTCACTGCACATTGTTCTTGTGCCTTCATCTCTCTGTGCTTTCATTTCTTCATCTGTTACATGAGACTGTTAATATGCACTGCCTCCTCATGGGCGTAGGTTTGTGTGCATGGAGAGCCCAGCGCACGGCCTGGGAAACAGCTCCTTCAGTCCATATTCACTACTCTAATGATTTAAGAATCTTTAGAAGTTGCAGTCATTGTCATAACTGAGTTAAAAAAAAGTTGGTTTGATGCCATAGGGTTTCAGGTTATCACAGAGATCTTTTTCTGTCTTGACCTCTCTGGGATGATATTAGAAGAGAATGCAGCTACCCTTGAGACACAGTCATCTTTGGAAGTTGTAGGAAGCCAGAGAGGATACTGAGATTTTTGCTTGGCTCATACACCAGCTTGGACAGCCCCTGGGAAAGATGTTTCAGGAGGGGCTGAGCAGAGGTGCCATTGATGAGATGTGAGGGCTCTTGGGTTTCATTTAAAGGATTCGCTCAGCGGGTGCTCAGTCCTCATGGTTCGTTGAAGCATGAATGTCACCAGTTTAGAGTTCAGTGACTCTTGTCCTCCAGAAAGTCGGTCTTCTTGGTTACTGTCGGTTGTCTGGGAAAAGCGTGGGGCACCGTGTGGCCAGTACATGTAAGTCTTACACTGATGGACGGAAAAGGGTTTTGTCAGAGTTCCATGGCTCACCTTTTCCAGGAACCTGCTGGCCAATCCTTTCAACTGTAACTGCCAGCTGGCTTGGCTCGGAGATTGGCTGCGGAAGAGGAAGATCGTGACAGGGAATCCGAGATGCCAGAACCCAGACTTCCTGCGCCAGATCCCCCTGCAGGACGTGGCCTTCCCGGACTTCAGGTGTGAGGAAGGTAACTCACGGGCCAGGGTGAGAGCGAGCTGAGCTGGGGCAACTCAGATGTGGGGGCAAGTTGTCACGTCAAGATTAGATTAGGGGGAGGAAGGGTCCTGAAGAAGGGCAGGGACAAGGAGACTCCCTCTTACTCCTGTGCCTCCCCTGTCTGGGGTGCCTTTCTAGAATTATAAGAACAATAATGTAAAAGGAAGAAGTCTTAGCCTTTAGAGAAAATCATTGTGACACTTTATCCCTTGAGAAAAATATTTAACCTTTCTAGATTGTAGTAAAAGAAATTCATTCATTAAAAAATTGTTTTGAGGATTACTATGTACCACTCTTCTAGATGAAGAAGGAAGGAGGGAAAAAAGACACACACACACACAACTCTTCTGTTGGGTTACTTGCTTTCGAGGGGGCAATACAGTGTCTACTTAGTGTATTAAGGAGCTGGTGGTAGATGAGCACCCTGAAAATCACCTGGCTGCTGCCTTTTTCCTCTGCTCTGTCTGAGTCAGCAGAGATCCACTCAGGTCGCTTTGATGCCATAGATTATGGGCAGTGGCACTGCTAAAGCAAAGCCTGTCACAGTTTGAACTTACCAGCAACTCTAAGGGAGAGAGATGGGCAATCTTCTCCCGTGCAGTTTGCCACCTCAGAAATGGCTAGAAGGTCAGCTATGAGCCTGCTCCAATTCAGTGGCAATCAGTTCAAAATAGGCCCTAGGGACTCTGACCTTGTAGGTTAATTGAACTGAGAGGAAGTGTCCAGAATCTGGTAGTCAAGGTGGTGTCAGAGAGGGACTTCTGTTCTGAGAGCACGCTGGAGCAAGGCCCTGACTGCAGGAGGGCCCTGGAAGGCCTGTCCCTATTGCTGACCTTGGCATCCTCCCGTCCCTTTCTAGGCCAAGAGGAGGGAAGCTGCCTGCCCCGCCCGCAGTGCCCCCAAGATTGCACCTGCCTGGACACTGTGGTCCGATGCAGCAACAAGCACCTCCGAGCCCTGCCCAAGGGCATCCCCAAGAATGTCACAGAACTGTGAGTACCCCAGGAGACCCCTGAAGGGCCTGTGAAGGAGTGGGAATGGGAGAGGCCAGGACTGAAGGAGCAGTAACAGGAAAATGAGAAGTTTCTCAAGCATGAAAATGAGCTGACTAGAAGCTTAAGCCTTGTAGAAAATGCCGGTTCCAGGAAAGCTCTGAGCTTCTTGAGTCCACTTTACAGAGGAACCTGATGGCACTGGCCACACCCAGCAAATGCTCACGCCTTTAAATGAACCTCTGTCTTAGTACTTGACTGCTAACCACTTCAAACTCACTCCGAGTCTCCATAGAAAAAAGGCCTAACAAAGATTATAGCCACATAAACCTTTTGGTAAACACATTTGTTTGAAGAAAGTGCTGGGCGCTTTTTAGAGTTTCACTGTGAGGGACAGTGACACTTGTCTCACATACTTTGGGCATATCGTGAGGAGGGGCCGTTGCATGGAAAAAGACATCATGTTGGGGAAAGTTGGGAGTCCCTGAAAGAGAGGAAGACCCTTAACAAGATGAATTGTCACAGTGACTGCCACAGTACGGTGGAGGTCGTGAGGATGGCGGATTAGGGCTCGGTTCAGGTCTGTTGTTCACAGCGTGCCTATCAGTCATAGTCATTTCAACACAGCTGTACCTAACAACAAAAGTCAAGAGGCAGATTTTCCCTGTGTGTCAATGTCTGTGGAAACTGACACAAAACAACCCCAAATATCAGCAGTTTAAAGAGACATGTGCCACCCACATTGTAAAAAGAAAAATAAACCGCCTTTACAATAAGAAATCACGTTACGTTCCTTACTTGCTCCGTCTCCCAAGCCTTCCTTCCGTCACTAGAGCTCTCATCAGTGGATTTTACTCGTCAAATGATGCCCATCAATATGACCGATGAAACAAATCCACCTTTGTTAGATATTCAAGTGGTTTCCAATTTCCCACTCTCATGAACGCTGGTGAAATAGCTGGTCAGAGTGTACTTGTCTGAGGCCTCCAGGAAGACTGAATCCCCTGCCCTCCCACTCACACCACGAGAACTTTCTCTGCTCTCTTTTCAGCACTAGCATTTGGGGTGTTGAAGTCTTTACTGATTTGATATCCAAGTTCCTGGGCAGGTGGTGTGGGAAGGGAGGAAATGAGGGAGAAGGCACTGGCCACATGGGATAAAGCTTCTCTGAACGCTGCAGACACTGCCAGGTACTCTAACCTACTGTGTTCTTTCCTGTAGCTATTTGGATGGAAACCAGTTCACACTGGTCCCAGGACAGCTGTCCACCTTCAAGTATCTACAGCTTGTGTGAGTATTCAGCCTGCTCGAGGATCCAGGGTCTGCCTCAGAGGACTTAACTAAAACTGCCCAAAGATGCTGTTAGGCAGTTCTTGCTTGGGCTCTGGAGACAACTGTGCACGCAGCTGCTTTGCCACCTAGTGGCCGTGTTTATTAACTGCACTATTCTAACCTCGCTCACACTGTCAACCTCCGATCCCCTGTTGGCTGATAGTATTGTTAATAATGGTCATTCTTGCAAGAATAGAAACCAGAACAGGAGTATAGGGTGGTGTCAAACAACCTCTAGGTCTAACATTGGCCAACTCCAAACATGAAATATGAGAGTTCTACATCCGTAGCTAAGTGTTTCTTTAGGTTGACATCTGTTGTTGCCTCCTTTGACCCTTTCTACCCCACAAGAAAACAAAACAAAAAAATAAGTTTGAAGAGTAAGTTTAGTTACTCTTGTCCTTTCGGCCTAACTCTTGATCTCAATTGTCTCCACTATTAGTGAGGTTCTACCAAAAAGAAGTTCAGAGAACATTTCACCGTAGTGTTGTGTAAAGCATCATTACTCATGCAGTACTATGAACCAGTGTCAGCCCAGGAATTGTCTGTTATTGGTCCAGAATCAGACACAGGACTCGCATCAGAATATCAATCTATGTAATACTTTCTTTGTCTAGAAAGTGTTGATATTTTTTTTTAAATGCTATCCCAGTTAACCCGCATGCTTAGTGGTGTGGTTACTGCGTTCTGGCACAAGTTCCTTACCGTCTTAGAGACCCAGAACATCCAGTTCAAATAATGGGGAGCACTTGCCTAGAGAGTTTTGAAACTCCAGTTTGTGTCCTTGTTGGTGATCTGGTGAATTTGTTTTGCTCATGCCCATACAAGGAATGTTTCTCGAGTGGCTGGTGACCAAATAAATGCCAAAGACAGAAATTGGAAACTTAAGTTTCTCCCAACCTTTCTCTGGTCTAAATTGAGGCAGTGACTCCTGTGGCTAGATACACTTAGACAGGAAAAGAGGAGAAATAGGATTAATGTCCAGTGAGTACTAACTAAAAAGTGCCTCTTGAGGCCTAAAATACTACTGTGTCTTCATCACAAGGCAGGCCTACAAAGTGTATTGGCCACTCAATGAAATACTTAGGTGGGATCTCTGAGAAGCATGGGATGATTTTGAACACGATAAATTAGATGAAAGTTTACAAAGAGAAAATAAAAGCTAGGTGCATTGATTTATTTTACAAACGTCAAACCAAGAGCTGCACTAAATAGGCAGATAAGACAGCTCCTTAATCATGGACCTTTCAACTGAATATTGGTCTGGGAGTGGTGGTAGAGAAGGAATGGGAGCAAAGACAGTGTTGTGGAGGGCCCCAGTGTCCCACCAGAGAGAAATACTGATGGAGAGTTTAGCTCAAAGAAGGTTAGGGAGCTGGAGAAGAGGAGTGTCTTTAAAAAAATGACAAACAAGTTAGGGTTGACCAGGTGGATATAAGGAACAGTATATCTACAAGAACAAACAAATCTGTCTTTGAAAAAAGTGCAACCAGAGTTCTCCTTAGAGGCAAAGATGGTGAAACTTCGTCTCATTTACTTTGGGCATATTTTCTGGAGGAACCAGTCTCTGGAGAGCGACATCATACTGGGAAGGGTAGGGGATCAGAGAAAGAGAGGAAGACCCTCAACACAGTGACCACTATAGGTTTAAGCATGACAGAGATTGTGGGGGTGGTGCAGAACAAGGCACGGATCGGGTTTCTTGTTTATAGACTCACGGTGAGTCTTAGATGACTCAATGGTGCTTAACAGCAACAACAAGCATATCCAGAGGCCTAGAGACAGCACATGCGCAGGAAGTCCACAGAAGCTGTGTAATATCAAAGACGAAAGGTATCGGAAATGACAGGCCTCAGAAGCAGGGATGAGACCACGGACACCTGATGGGTCTCCAGAGTAATGTCAGTTACCAGACTAATGGGTTAGTCACCACACTAACAGGTCCAGAGGTGACACTTTAGTCCAAGGGGAGCCACTGAAAGGATCTTTTTCCTTTTGTGGGGAAGTGACCTTGTCAGATTTATTGTGGGTTCCACATGGATTAAAATGTGACATAGTTGTAGGTGGAGAGCTGAGATCCACCTAGAAGCCAGATGAGAAATGATGGCTTGATGGATTTATGTACAGAGACACAGCTATGGAATGTAAAGCTTGATCTGAGTGGAACAAGAGAGCGGATGTGGACGGGGTTGTGTTTCCACATTGTTAGAGCTGGTAATGAGAAGGGATAGTGCAGCATGGGGCCAGGGTGAAAGCACTAGCTCCGCCTCCAGTGTGAGGGGCTGAGGAACGTGAGGTGGACGAGCTGTTCATGAGAGAGGGTGGAGGAGGATGAGGGGAGGAGCACGGAGCATCCCTGAAACATGTAGAGTGGATTAAAGAAGAACAAGGAGAGCATTCTGGAGACCGAGAAAGCACCCCCAAAGAGATAGGAGGAGGAGAGAAATGAGTGAGGGTCAGAGAAGACAGAGGGTTTTTTGTTTGTTTGTTTGTTTGGTGTGTTGGTTTTTTTTTAAAAATTTTCATTAGTTTATTTATAAAATTCTAATACAAATTTGAACAAATTATTTCAATTTCCCTCCCCTTCCATCAAATTGTACAACCCAATGATTAATCCCTCCTCTTCCCCTGCACATCCACATCCCTCTGCTTCCAGCCTCTCCCACCCCTCCTGGATCCTTATACTCATTCTACAATAACAGTTTTATATAATATTTATCCTTGTGGAACTGAGTAAGTTCACTCAGCATAATGCTCTCCAGTCCCTCCCAAGTTAGGTAGTAATTTACAGTAATTGCTCTTGTATGCTACCTAGTATTCCATTGTATGAAAGTACCATAATTTCTCAATCCATTCATTTGTGGTTGGACATTTGGGCTGTTTCCATGTTCTTGCGATGGTGAATAATACTGCTATGAATATTGGTGTACAAATCTAAGTTTGTGCCTCAGTTCTCATATTTTCAGGGTATATCCAAGTAGTGGAATAGCTGGGCCATATGTTCAGCTTTTTAAGAAAGCGCCAAACTGCCTTCCAGAATTGTTGTACCATTTTGCAATCCCACCAACAATGTATAAGAGTTCCTTTCTCGTCACATCCTCTCCAACATCTACTACTTGCTGCCCTGTTAAACTTTGCCACTGTTACTAGAATGAGATGGTACTTCATTGTGGTTTTGATTTGCATCTGAAGAGTTTTGAGAAGAGGCAAACGCCAAAGACCGTTTGGAACTCTGAGAGCACATGATGGTGACCTGGGAAGATGAATGGGGTTTGAATCCAACCCCCAACCAGCTGTGCGACCCTGAAGAATTTACTGAAACCCCCTGAAACTGTTTTCATTTGTAAAATGGGGTCACTGTCTCCCTCATAGGATGATGTGAAGGACTAATGTGCTAGGTTCCACAAAGCACTAGCCTGAGAGAACAGAGAAGAACCCACTAGATCTAGTAGTTGGAAGGTAGCTGTGACCTGGTGAGAGAATTTCCACAGTACAAAGGGGCACTTTGTCAGGGTGTCAGGCTCCGATTGCAGGGGGCTGAGGCAAGTAGTGGATGAAGAAATGGAGACAGGAAGGCCTGGGGTCTGGAGGAAGGTCAGGTAGAGTTGAGGACGGTAGCTGTCTAGGAACCAAGTTCCTCTCCACTCCCAGGAGGATCATCCATGATGAATGGTAATCCATTTGGGTGAGGGCTTATGGGGGAGGGGGAGAGGAAGAAGCCGCCCGTGAGAGTGAGCCTTTGGGTTTGAGGTCTTCCTTTCTGAACGAAGATGACTTTGTCTTTTCCAGGGACCTGAGTAACAACAAGATCAGCTCATTAAGCAATTCCTCCTTCACCAACATGAGCCAGCTGACCACTCTGTGAGTCCCTGCGTGGGGGAGGGAGCTGGAGGGTGGGTAGTCTTGGTCACTGTAGATGCTGTTAGCGCATGCTTTTCCCCAGTCCCAGCCTCTGTATGCACTACTGCTTTGTCAGTCGCTCAGTGGGAGGGTGCCAGGGCCTGAAAGTCTCAAATACTTATTAAAACCACTTTGTTTTATTGTTAAATTCAACTTATATAAAGAAAATGGAAAAAAATATCAGTAGCCAGTTTGGTGAAGAATCCTACCTAGGCTAGCACCTGTGTAGGGAGCTCTGAAGCGGAGCACCACTCGCCCACAGCTGGGCACCTTCCTTCTCCCACGTGATGCAGTGAGTCTGATAGCAAATAGAGACCTCTCTAGAGGGTTGGCCTGCAGACCTAAGGCCGTGCTTCTCTGGTAGTTCAAACCCACCAGCAGACCCCGGGAAGAGGGATGAGCAGTCTTTTCTTGGTGCCATTTACAGCTTAGAAATCTGACAAAGGGTCTCTCTGAGTCAGAAATGACTCGGTGGCAGTGAGGTTTTTTAGTGAGAGTCCTTCAATGTCTGTCTTTCTGTCTCTTCCTGATTTCCCCCTTGCTTTACTCTCAGGCAGCCATTATTCTGATTGCTATGCTCATTTTAAATTTTTTTTTTAGTATTGCCAGCAACATATGCATTTCTAAACAATACAGTTTAGTTTTGCCTGTTTTAAAATCTTATCTCAAAGTCATACAATATACTCATTTAAGTCTGTCTCCTTTTGCTTACATGATGTTTGTGAGATCCACACTGCTGTGCAAAGCTCTCATCTATGTATTTCTTTGCTACGAAAGGTACTTTTGTAGGAACATACCATGCCTACTTATCCATTCTACGATGGAGGGATATTTGGGTTGGACTTTTGTGAACAGTGACTCTCTCAACATTTTTGTGCCCATATTCTAAGAGGTTTTAATGCTTGCTTTAATTATCTTCCAAGGAAATGGTCAGAAAATAGTATTCACACCATTATATACCCCACCCCCTGATGATTTATATTTGCCTGATGCTTAATAAGCGTGTGTATCATTTGCTTTTCCAAGCCTGCTTTTGCAGATCATGTGCCAAGAAGTTAAGGGACTTGCCTAAGGTTGCAAGGAAGCCAAGTAGGAGAGTCGGTAACTCAGAATTGAAGGGTTCCAGTCCCACGCAGCCTCCAGGAATGGTGCTGGACTGAGACTGTGAGGTGCCTGTCAGCCTGACCACCTTGTGTCAACTGACCACCCAGACAACTGGTTCTTTTTTTAGAGTCTCCATGACAGCCTAGCAACTTGATTGCCCATCCCTGGCGAGATCTTGCTTTCAAAGGCCTCTTTTGACCCCAGGGAGCTGGTGTGTGAAGCCTCCATGGCCTCAGGCAGTGGTTCTCAGTGAAGGGAGCCCTCCAAGGAACATTTGGCTATGTCTGGAAACATTTCTGGTTGTCACATTTTGGCAGGGTAGGATGGGGTATGTAGAGAGGCCAACGATGCTACTAAACATTCTCCAAGGCCCAGGACAACTCTTGAAACAAAGAATCACCCAGTCTAAAATGTCAGCAGCATTGGGGTTGAGAACCATGGGCTCAATAGTCCTGGCATCTTTGAATGAGACAGAGACCTTTTGTGTCATAGAAATGTCTCTTTCATTAATTCCTCCCCGCAAAAAAACAAAACAAAACAAAACAAAAAAAACCTTTACTACATAAAGCTGTATAATGAATAATTTAATTACATTTAAATTTAATTAATTTAAATGTGTAATTTACTGCATAATTAATATCCAGTAAACTACACACAATTAAAGTCTACAACGTGATAAGTTTTGACATATCTATACAGCCTAGAATCATCAAGACTTCCCTTTCATACTGACTCCCTGTCCTAACTTTCCCCAAAGCTTCCCGTCACCATCAGTCAGCTTCCTGTCACTAGGATTAGTTTGCATTTCCTACACTTTTATATAAATGAGATAATTCATTTTTCACCCCCTCTTCTCAGTACTTTATTCTTTTCTTATAGCTAAATAGTATTTCATTGTGACACTTTACCGAGGTTTGTTTATTTACATTGATGGATATTTGCTTTTTTTTAAATAACTAAATGCTCTTACATACATCATTTCCTTATCACCAATTTTTTAGTCTGCCCTTGATTTCTTTAGAAACCTTGTAAGACAATAGTTAAGTTTGTAGACTTTAGAAAGGGAGAAACCAAAGTAAAATACGGGCCTAATAATTAGTAAATGTGACACTGTTATTCATCCTTCAGAGTCTCAGTTTCCTCATCTCTAGGATGAAGATCATACTAGTAACATTCACACCGTCACAGCTTCCTAAAGGGTAAATTGTTAGATGCCCAGACCGTGTCTGCAGTTTGGAAGTGATGGGCTGAGGGGATGAGCTACCCATCAAAGAGCCCCTAGACCCTGTGTTGGCTTCACAAGGAATCCCACCTGTGCCCTGGCTGCTACCACCTCCATGAAGGGAATTCTCTTGATCACAGTAACAGCACCTCTCCCTTATTAAGGATGAGTTGTAGCCAGGCACTGTGTAAAGAGCTGTATTCATTCATTTTAGCCTCAAAAGAATCCTGTGAGGTTGGTATTATTGCTGTCACTACTTGCAATTGAGAGAACAGATGGTACCATAAACAGATTAAAATGGATTATTGGGAGCACAACTGAGACAGGAATGCAGGCCCTTGGCCCCAGGCCTGCACTTTTATCCACAGCGCTGCCTCATCTTAAAGAGCATGAGGAGGCTACCACGCAAAGCTTCCGAGGGATTTGATGTGCTGCATGGACTGCCTGCAGGGGCTTTGGGACAGTGACACTGGGCCCTTCCTTTCTTCTTGCAGAATTCTCAGCTACAACGCTCTCCAGTGCATCCCTCCTCTGGCCTTCCAAGGACTCCGCTCCCTGCGCCTGCTGTAAGTCTCTTTGAGCATCATTCCTCAGGGAAATCTGCCCCATAGAAGGTCCTGCCTTCTGTCTAAAGGGCAGAAAAGCCTCCATTCCTGGGACTCAAAGGTGGGAGACCTCTACACTTTAGTTAAAGCCCCTTCAGAAGCCAGCTAATGGGTGGAAAAACATTTAAGATATAAGTTTTTGTCAATGTCAAGTTTGTACAGGGGTAAGGGGCAGGGCATCAGAGATAAAGTAGCCTCTCATTCCTATAGGAGGTGTTTGCCATGTGGTCAAAGCCCTCTCTTATGTCTGTTATGATGCCTCTCATGGATTTACATATGAATCCTTTGTCAGCCCCAAGCATGGCAAGATGACATTTTTACAGCCTCAGCATAGGTCTGGCTGTACTAATTACCTTACCAAGAAGCTGGCTTCCCCTCAAGACTGAGGGAAGAACACGGTGCTCATACTCCATTTGTGATCTAAAGAGGATACGAGGCTTGCTTGTGAGAGCAAAAATTGGAGTCCTGTCAAAAGAGTGAAGCATCTGGTGGTCTAGGTGGATTGCTGAGAGCTCCTTTTTCCCTTTCCAGTGACCGGTCAGGCTGGGAACCTCCAGCTCATAGCAGTGATTTAGAGATTTTAAGGATACGCCTGGCATGTCTCCTCTCAGCAAAAGGCAATGCTGTTCCTCCATTAGCTCCTGAGTCTTTGTCTCTGGGATGAGCCCCAATAGCTTCTTCTTTCCTCAGGTCCCTCCACGGAAATGATGTCTCCACCCTCCGAGAGGGTCTGTTCGCAGATGTGACCTCCCTGTCGCACCTGTAAGTAGCCCTGGGCATCTCTGGATTGAAATGGAATTGGATTTTGGGAAAGACTCTACCTCCTGAGATTACTAGAGCTTGTTGCTTTCATCCTGCCGCTAATTATGCTTGTGAACTTCACATGTTGTACGACCTGTTGTACCCTTACATGTTCTGTAGTGGTTAGCAGCTCTACCAACGGAACATGAGAAAATACTGTCACAAGCAATAATAAAAGGGTAAGTGTCTTACTTACTAATCACTTCACCTGCATTGACTAATTATATTGCAGGGCAATCCTACAGCATAGACACTGTTCTTCCCAGTCTACACATAAGGAAACAGCACCAGAAGTATGAGACATTGGACCAGATTTGCATAGCTGTAGTGATGTAGCCTTCTGACTCCAAAATCCAGGCTCAGCGTCATGCCTCTGACTTCACACCTTGGAAGGTTGTTGTTAGACGCCCTCTAGCTGACTATGACCCACAGCGGTCCTTTGAACGACAGATGTAAACGTTGCCCTGTCCTGCACCATCTATGATCTCTGCTATGCCCAAGCCCATTGGTATAGTCACTGTGTCAACCCACCTTGTAGTCTTCCTCTCTTTCTCTAACCCTTCACCTTTCCAAGCATATTGTCTGTTTCCAAGAACTGACCTCTTGAAAACATGCCCAAAGCATGTGAGGCCATCCTTGGCAGGGTTCGCCATCCTTACCTCTAAGGAGCACCTTGGTTATACTTCCTCGGAGACAGATTTGTTTGCTCTTTTGGAATTCCATGGGGTATTTAGCACTCTTTTCTTCTGTCATTCTTCTTCATTTTCTAACTTTCGGATACATAGGGAGCAATTGAAAATACTATGGCTGGATCCTTAGGGTTTTTTTGTTTTGTTTTGTTTTTTTTAAATGTATGTGTGTGTGTGTACCGTCAAGTCAGATGTGACTGGTACAGGAGAAGATTGCCCCACCTTCTCCAGCAAAGCATCTGGTGGATACGAACCACTCACCTCTGGGACTGCAGTGCAGCTTCTTGCCACTAGGCCACCAGAGCTCCAGTATGGATTATATTTTACACCATCAGACTCAACTGCTGAGCCTGTCTTAACATGTATTCCTGCCTGGCAGGGGGTTACCAGCATTACCTTGGGGTTTAGACATACATTTAGAGGTGCTCTCGTGGTGCTGTGGCTTTTCCTGCATTCTTCCAAGAACTGAACAGCAACCCAAGTGCATTCTCACCTAGGCTCCTGCTCAAACTATACTCCTCCCTCCAAGTAACAAGTTGACAAGCAACATAGGTTTTGTACAAATAAAAAACCACAACTGCAGAACAAATTTTGCAACTACATTTGTCAATAAATTCAAACTTTTTTTTAAAAGAGGATAGCAGGAACAAAGGACAATAGCTAGAATAAAATCTTTCACATGGGGTTAGAACTGAAGAAGATGGGCAATGTCTCAGACTACAGTTATGAGACAACACACTGAAATAAAGTTGTTGGCGGACTCTGGGACAGATTCCAGACAAGATCATTCTTGGCACCAGTCAAGCCAATTAGCTTTGATTATGTGGAATCCACAAACACTGATGATATTGATAAACCCTTTGGAGACCTCACATCTCTAGCCAAGACTCGAACCTCTAAACCCTTATATACAATCACAAATCAAATGGCAGGCTACTGAAAGGATTTACAAAGAAGGATCTCTGTTGGTGAAAGTATAGGTGGTAACCAAGGAGATTACATTTCAGAGACTGACTGACCTGGGGACCTTGGCCAAGTTTTGGAACAGGTTTGTGGCCTGAAACTATAATGACTGAGGACCAGAAGAGCTGTGGGACAATATCAGGAATATCATCCAGGAAGAATACAAAGGGTCATTACAAAGACAGAAGAAGAAAAGAGCAAAATGGATGTCTGAAGCGACTCTGAATATTGTACTAGAATGCTGAGAAGCCAAAGCAAAGGGAAAAAAAATCAAGATATAAGGAGCTGAACAGATTTCAAGGGGCAGCATGGGAAGACAAAGCAAATGAAAAGTGCAAAGAGTTGAAGTCAGAAAATCATAAGAGCTGAACTTGCTTGGAATTTCCTAAACTGAAGAAACTGATGAACAAAATAAAGCTTTGAGTTGCAATACTTAAGGATGCTTTGAGCAGAATATTAAATGATCTTTGAAGCATTAAAAGAAGATCAAAAGAGAGAAGAAAAAAAAAAGAGGATAGCAACAGCAGGTCAGAAGCCAGATCCAAATGACTGGAAATAAAGCAATAAGTAAAGATCAATTTAACAGTAATTACAGAACAGGGAGTTGGCATTAATGATTAGATGTGTTCGTTAATTGCATATAAGCCTGATTTCTCCACACAACATCTGTGTGAAAAGAATCTTCCATTGTTATGTCATAATCTTGTGAATAAATTCTGCCCTTTATATCCAGAGTGTAAAAAGGAAGTAGACTGTAGCCTGGAAAATGTGTCTGTCCTTAAAATCGCCTATCTACACATCTTCACACGCAGCCTTGCTGGAATGTGTGTGTGTGCACTTCTGTCCGTCATTGTCTGCTCTGTACCTCACACTGCAGCCTTCCATGGGTTTTACTGAGCTCTTCCAAGGAGTGAGGGGATGGTAAAAAGATTACATAGATTAATTTTATTGCCTCTGGACTTCCCCTTGGCTTCATGCAATTTGAAAGGAAGACACACCTACAATTCTGTAACAAGTCCTGATGGGCCAAGGATTAGCATCCAGTGTTCCTGGTTCCTGAAGGTGCCAGTATTCCTTAAAGTTCTCTGTTCTTAGTTTGACTCTGGTCTGTCCCTCTCCTCTTTACTGGTAACTTGGAAGAGAGGTTCTGTGCGTGAGGGTGAGGCATAGGGTAAAGTCTACCACACTGAAATCCGTGGGACTCTAGGCTGTGGGTGTTAGGCGCCATTGAGTTGATTCCGACCCAGCAACCCGCCCTGTCCTGTGCCATCCTCACAATGACTGCTATTATGGGATAAGGTATAGCATAGAGTGTAGTCTATACAAAATCAAGAAGAGACGATTATTAGCCACGCCTGCATTGTAAAACCATTTTATATGTATCTTTGGTCCTGTAGTACTTATTGTTAAGCATTAGAGAGGAACATAACCATTTGAGGTCTACCTTAGTCGGGATTTCTGTGTAGAGTAGATGCACACATTAGGCATCTATAACAATCCTAAGATATTTTAAGCCTCCTACATTTATATTGGCCTCAGATTTAGTGCATCTGGCATTTCCTCTAAATGAGCTCTAAGGCTGAAAGAAGCATTTGAAATACAGCTTAAATTAATGAATCTTGACTGGACTATGCTCCTGCTGTATGCTATAAAAAGGCTTTTAAATTTTGTGTTTGTCTATTGAATAACACTATTTGATTGCATCACACATTTTTACATTAAGATGCTAATGACTATAAAACATTTTTAATAAGCCACCATGTTTTTATTCCTTATTTTTTTTAAAAAAGGGGTTTTGGTGGTTTTTTTTTTTAAAAAAAAACAACAAAACAACCAACCCAAACAGACACAATAGTGCTCAAAAATCCCAACTGCCAGATGTCATCTGCTTTTGAGCTGCCAGGGCCTGATCTGTGGAAAGAAGAGTGCGTCTCCTCAGTCTTATTAGACGGGATGGATGCTGTCAGCAAACATGGAGACAAGAATTAAAAGCGTGCTGAGGTTGAACCTGCTTTTCTTTCTGAGCCCCATTATTCCCTCAGCTCCCATTTTTGGTTAGATGTGCTTGTCTTTCTTCCCTCCCTAGATTGCATGCTCTTTATCGAATCATAAAGTGAGCTCCAGAGGTGTTAAATGAGCTGCTCAAGGTCACCAAGCGGTCCGCAGCTGCGCCGAGGCCAGAGCCCTCGTCTGGTTCAGCCTCTTTATGAAATCACATAGCCGTCAGCTGTGCCATTTGGGAGAATTCTTGTTCAAGAATCAGCGTTGCTTTCCTTCAAAGTGGAGTCAAATCCTCTGTGGCACCCAGAAACATGTGGAGAATGGAATTCACTAGTGACTTGTGAAATACGACCATTCTTATAAGCAGCATGTAGAGATTACAGATGAGTAGATATGTATGTATAAATATATATGTGTGTGCATAAACTGCTGGTGTGGTGCATAACACAGGGAGCTGCTAACTGAAAGGACCATGCTTCAAATCTATCACTCACTCACTCTTCAGGATAAAGATGGGAAATAAAAAATTATAGCTTTGGGAACAGATGGAGGGTAGCTATGGGCTGTAACCAATTTGAGGGCAGTTGGGGGGTGTCAGTATGTGTTTAATGGGGCTCTGATGGTCTCTGTGGTTAAGGACTTGTCCTGCCAACCCAAAGGTGGGTTGTTCAACTCTACCAGCAGCTCCAAGGGAGACAGACAGTCTCCCTTCCATGTAATTTACAGCCCACTGTAAAACCAGCTGGAGAGCTGGGAGTTGGTTCTGCCTTAACCACTATGAGTTGTTGTTTGCATATGTATATTTGTGTGTAAAGGTATATACATATACAAACATGTACATCTATATCTCTGTATCCTTGTATTTTCAAAACAGCATTGATATTGACTGTCAGGCATAAGGCACACATTTTTGTATTCGATGAATCCTTCTTTCCCTTCATCCATGTCTTGTTTATCTTTGTGTCTCTGACTTTGGTTTAGTGAAGAGATTTTGAACTTGCCCATCAGATTAGTAAAAAACACACGATACTGGTAGTGGATGGTGCTACTTCAAATGTGAGAAGGGTCACAGCTCTTAGCATCCTGATGAGAGCAAGTCAAAGTGGCCTTTTCAGACGGCAGCTCGTAGACACTTCCTCTGCAATTTCAGTCTTACTTCTGGACTCTGTTCTAGGGAAATACTCATACTTCTCAGAGAGGCACATTTGGGAATGTTCACTGCCGTTGGATACAGCCAGAATGCCCAGCAAGAGGGAAATTGTGCAGTAAATTATGGAGCATCCATTCTTTGGGATGCTAAGAAGCCATTTGAGAGAATGAGGTGGGCACAGAAATACTGACCTGAAAATATCACTCCAGGGCAAGCTGCTTAGTGAGTAACAAGAAACAAGCTGCTCAGTAAAGACAAATGTGCGACGTAACTTCTGAGGGAGAGTCATTCGTGTGACCGTGAGAAAGGACAGTGGCTACGTCTGTGGAGGGCAATAAGAGCGGGAAGGAGAGTTGTGTTTCTCCGTGGCTGCACCGCAGTCTAGAATCACTCCCTTGATTCATGAACACTGGGAGTTTCCAGTCTCTCCATTACCCACAATCCTCCAGTCAATACCTTTGCACAGATGTCATCACGTACTTGCTCAGGTTTATCTTCAAGATAAAATAGGAAGCTACTGACATAGTAGCTGCATCAGTCAGTTGAAAAACCATTTACATGCCTCTCAGTAATATGCCTGCTTGTTGTTATTGTTCTATTATTAATGTAAATGCCATAGAATACAAAACTAGTCATTTCAAGGTACGCAGTTCCCCGGTGGTGCGTGCACTCAAAATGTTTCACAGGGCAGAGACTTTTGCTTTGTCTGCGTGTTTGACAGTGGAACACAGTGAGAACGAATTCGTGTAGTCCTTGTTTAGTTAAACATGGAAGGAGAAATCTGAGTGTGAGGGCTGCAGGATCTAACGGCTCAGGGTCTGTATCCAGGAGCTGCCCTCCGGTCCCTGCCATGGCTTCTTCCTCATGAGGCTCAGTTCCCACATCTCTGAGATGTACAATACTGCAGAGCTAATGAGAAGATTAGGCATGCCAGCCATTGAGAGCAGCTGGCTTGTCATGGCAGTAAATGGTAGCTCCCTTTCCCCTGGGCAGTCTACACACACAGACTCTGACCTCAATAGCACAAGTTCAAACCCAGACCCCTCTTTTCCTCTGTGATAATACATCCTTTAACTTTTGGAGGCTTAGTTTCCTTACAAGTAAGATGAGGATGATAGGAGGTGAGAGAGATTTAGTCAGGAGTTCTGGTGACACAGTTGCTAAGTGCCCAGGGGCTTGTACAACAGCAGCTGGCAACACAAGTATGTTCTGGATCAAGGAAAACTCCATCCACACCCCAGACACCGTCTTCTGCTCCCTCCCACTTATTGCTGGAGTGTGTGTGTCTTTCTGTTCATGCTCATGGCTCTTGCAGTAGAACTAATATGTCATCACAGTCTTAGATGGAAAACTTAATTAACTGGCTTGGTCTTATTTACTTGGATCTGGCAGGTAGCACCCAGGTCGCTCAGCTGACTGCTCCTGGCTGCCTACCACATCTCTAGCTACACAGATAAATGCTTATGGGCTCTCAGGCCTTTTGCCAGCCCCTGGCCGAGTGCCTGGCACCCTAAGTTCCAGCAGGTGAGGGACTGATGAAGCTGTGTTGCTGCCTTTCTCTGATTTCTGTCCCAGAGCCATTGGTGCCAACCCCCTGTACTGCGACTGCCACCTCCGATGGCTGTCTGGCTGGGTGAAGACCGGCTACAAGGAGCCTGGCATTGCCCGCTGTGCTGGACCCCCAGACATGGAGGGCAAACTGCTGCTCACCACACCCGCCAAAAAGTTTGAATGCCAAGGTGAGCCCAGAGCACGGCATGGAGGGTGGGGGTCCTGGGGTGGATCTTGCCTCCTGGCGCCGTAGGGTTTGCTCAACCCTGGCTGGCCTCCCAAGTGTTCCTGTGTCTCTGAGGTGATCAGCCGGGTGGAGGGTGTGGGGGTCACATGGCAGGAACAGAGTACCTGATGCTTGTTAGGGGAATTGCCCTCCACCCGTGCCAGAGAAAGAGCTGCAAAAGCCACTCAGAAAACCTCCAGCTGAGAAGCTTTTAATCCCTCCTGGTGGTTATGCAAGGGAAATAAAAATAGCAGCAGTTTCTAGAAGCTGTGAGCCTCTCAGCAGCTCCTCAAGCCTTCCTTCGGTAGGAATCCTGCTTAGCAATTAGCTTAAAGCCCGCCTCCACCTCCGCCTCTGCGCCTGCTGGAGTGGCCAGTCTCCTGACATTTGCAGAAATAGGGGCACCTTCCTGTAGGCCCCGCATGTTGGGCCTCTGTAAACACTTGTTCAGGGGCTGATTGACGACTGAGGGCCCCAGCCCAGGAGGCCCTGGTGAGCAGAGAAGGGCAACCCCCTGATCCTGTATGCAGTGGGGGGGACCTGGGGGAAAAGCTGGGAGGCCATGAGCCATGGCCCCTGCCCTCTGCAAGCTTCTAGACTGCTGTGGAAATGAGACTGACAGCCATAGGTTAATGAGGAGGCCTGGCCACCCTGCATGCAGGATGCTGTCGGCAGGGGAACAGCGCAGACAGGCCCCATCTGTGGCTTGGATGTGTGCAGCAGGCCAATTTATGTTTAAACATTTGCTTGATGTGTATTTAATGGGGGTGGGGCGGTGCTGGCGAGAAGAGTCATTAAAAAAATATTTTTTTTCTTGAAATACAACACACCCAAGAAAGTACACAAATCATAAATGAATTTTTCAAACTTTAACTCACCCATGTAACCAGGAACTGGATCAAGAAGCAGAGACCACATGCAGAGACCATTCTCCACCCCCAACCCCATGCTCCTTCCAGATTGACTGGGAGGCGTGTTCATTCCTAGTCACATTAGTGCCCCTTTAGCAGAACAGATATTTTACCACTTTGGTCCCCAGGTCGTGGGCAGTACAAACTCAGTGGCTCAAACACCAAAAGGTTGGTGGTTCAAGCTCACCCAGCCACTCTGTGGAAGAAAAGGCTTAACAATCTACTTCCATTAAGACTGCAGCCAATAAAACTCTATGGGGCAGCTCTACATATGGGGTCACTGTGAGTCAGATTGTCTCGTTGACAACAACAAACAGAAGAAGTCATAAGTGGAAAGAGCTCACTCACATGGTCTTGCTGTGTCTCCCTATGAGAGCTTAACGTCCCAGTTCACTCACTGCCCACTCTCCTGTCCGTCACAAGTCCAGGGCATGCGTGCAGCTGGGAAACAGGAGACAGCTTGTCTGCCGCTGGAAGGTTGATGAGCAAGGCGCTTCCTGGTTCAGTCTTGGATAGAACACTGCTCCCCACTGGAGCCTCCTCCCGGCTCTCAGCTGGCTGTGCGGGAGACCCACCTGCTGAGGTTTGTCATCCTGGCTCTGCAGGTGTCAGGTTGGGTGATAGTGAGGTGTGAAGAGATAGAGACTCATACCAGCAGGAGACTCACACCCGCTGCTGCCCTAACCACATGCTTCCACAGGCTGAATGTGTGGCTTAGCTGTGCAGCTTTGTGGAGCAGGGGCTGTTTTTAGCCCATCTGAGAGAGGAGGGCCTGGAGGCTGGAGAAGGGGGACCATGGAGGGAGGAAGTGAGCAGATTCCAGAGAATCTATTTATAAGTGACTCATAGCTGACCCTCTGGTGAGATTTCAGAGTCTGTAAATTGCATGGAAGTAGACTGCCCATCTTCCATGGATCAGCTGGTGGATTTGAACTCTTGCCCTCTGTGCTGGCAGTGCAACTTGAGGCCACTAGGGCTCCCTACAAAGGAACATTGGGCAATGTAAAAACCTTGGAAAAGCACTTTCCACCACCCTGCTCGTGCCCAGGTGGGAATCCCCGGTCGCTCTGTGCCCAGTGCCTCCCTGCCCTGACTTCTTCCTACAGTGGCATTTGAGCCACTGAGTTTGTACTGCCCACGACCTGGGGACCAAAGCGGTAAAATATCTGTTCTGCTAAAGGGGCACTAACATGACTAAGAATGAACCCACCTCCCAGTCAATCTGGAAGGAGCATGGGGTTGGGTGTGGAGAATGGTCTCTGCATGTGGTCTCTGCTTCTTGATCCAGTTCCTGGTTACATGGGTGAGTTAAAGTTTGAAAAAAATTCATTTATGATGAATTTTTTGTGAAGAAACACATTCAGTGTTTCCTTACCTAATAAACTAAAATTTCCTGTGTTTAACAAGCAATCTTCATATCACATGAAAGATTCTGCTTCTAAGCATGGTGGCCACCTGTCTTCTCCTTTCAACCCCACAGCACCAAAAATCAAATCCTGTGCTCGCTTCGGCAGCACATATACTAAAATTGGAACGATACAGAGAAGATTAGCATGGCCCCTGCACAAGGATGACACGCAAATTCTTGAAGC